CCTTAAGTATGAAGAGCATCCTTCCCACTTGGTGAATTCGGCTTATTGCTTTCAAAATAATGGGCAAATTTATGATCCCTCTGATCATAAATTTAGTGAGTTGAGGCTGTTCAGGTTTGTGCTCTCAAGTTGCCATAGTGGGGAAAGGGAAGACTGGGACAGATGAAGGATGGAATAACTGGCACCAGGCCCTGAATTTAACCTGTACTTCACCGGGGATGCGCTGCACTGTTTATTCACAGGTCCCGCTCGCGCAGTTTCATATCAACACCTCGGTGGTACAACTGCACACGGCGCTTGCTTTAGCATAATTCTTTTAACATTAGCAAGGTTCTGCAGTATCTATTTTTCAACAGCATGTGACAACTGTGCTGTTACCTTGGCTAGTTTACATTGTACAGGAGGTTCACATCCCCATGTCTGTGATTTTTACATAATTGGGCAGAACAGACACACATGAGTAAATGTGTGTGCTTTGCTTACAAGCCAAGCTTAAAATTTACATTTCCTCTGTGAGATTATCGTTGTAGCATGAAATTCCCATTAATATAAGTAATCACATGTTGTTATTTTTGATATATGCAGTTTAAATGTTCCCTCATAAATTACTTAAAAGGTTGTGCAGACAGATCCACACTTTAAAAAAAAAAGAAACACCAGATATATTGTTAGCTGTGTCCCACAGTGCCTGCTGGGAGGCTGACAAAGTACAAGTCACACATTCTGGGTCCCCATTGGCCAACTGTGTAATAGGTATTGAGATCTGTGCTGTCCAATAGAAAGAATTAAAAAGTGTTAAGTTCCTTCATTTGGGGATTAACTTAATTGGGGACTGTTAATCAACCTGACCAGCTTCCACCAATCTTGATTTACTTTCCATTCTGACATGGAGAGCAGGGTAGGAATAATGCATACTTATGCACACATATTCATATTAATCTTTAGAGATATATACGGAGAACAACAGTATAAACCTAAAGTACAAAAGAAATAGGGGGGAAATGAGCTGGCTTGTATTTCAAAGTTGAGGCAGTATAATTCTGGAGGTGAGCAAATCATAGGGTTGCTTGCTATGTTTCATTATCTATTCACTACTTTATTATAGGTTGTTTTTTGAGGCTCACATTTTAAGGCTCAGAAAGATGGGTCTTGGGGGCAAACAACGTTCAATTCAAACATGAATCCAGACCTGCTAGTAAAGAATGTCCATTGCAATGGCGTTGTTACCTCCACCTTGATAGCATGATATTGGTTATTGGCTGAAGATGTATGATAGCCCATTCAATGTGGCTGACCAAGATGCTCCCACCTTGATGCTTGAAGGATGCTGCTTGTCAGCAGTGATGAGCAACTACCCCATGGATGCTCAACCCTATCTTGTCCAATCATTTCTTCACCGTACTCCACATTTTTTTGCCAGGGTCCAGCTATCTATCCAGCAATAACAACAACCCGATACAGTTGTGGAGTCTGGATTTGGGTTAGGATTTCAATAAGCCTTGAGATATTTGCTTAAGTGAGTTTCATATATCTTTTGGATGCCATCGAAACCCACTTAAAAGTAGGGTTGCCAGGTCAGGAGCATCCCAGAGCCTGAGATTTCAGGGCCCAGACCTGAGACCTAGGTCTGATAACGCTACTTAAAACAGAGACCAGTTTGGAGACACCTGCCTCAGCAAAATGTGAGGAACTCTAGAGCAGCTGCAAAAGTTTCACCAGGAGTAAAGTGTGTTGTGCACATCCCAGGGTAAATACATCGGGAGTCTATGCTCATTGATATGAAAACAAATTAAAGAATACAGTAGAAGTGCTGGATTGCGGGAGGGGGGGATTATGCCAAACCCTGAAATCTAGATGCAACCATTCCCAAAGTAAACGGGCACATTGCAGATAGAAAACAACAAGAGCTAAAGGCAAGCTAGCTAGCTTAGTTTAGGTTCTGATGTATGTTAACAACAGTACTTTACCAAATGAAGTAAACAGAGTAATGAGGGACAATTAAGAAAATATTCAGAGTAATATTTTAATTTTAAAAGTGGGGGGAATATCTTGCCTGAAAGGGTGGTCTACAGTAGCTGTAGCTTTGAGCCATTGAAACCTCTGGAGAAATTTTCGTAATGACAGTATACAAATATAATTTATTTACAATTTGAGAAAACTTGCCATCCACTCCCTTGTGACAATTTGCTGCTTACATTAAAAGTGGAGCTGTTTCTCATAAAGACATGAAGTCAATAGCAACAAGCCAACCCAAAGTCAGCCTGCAAATAAATTAAAAATGGTTGCCATTTGCAACATCATAGGAAAGCTAAGCAGCTATCTGGAACTCTTCTTATTTTTCAGTCTCACAAATGCTTGCAAGCCTTCAAAAAGCCCAAGACACTTCTGTTGCCCAAGAAATAAGATTGTGCTCTATGATTGCACTCCCCAAATCACACATGTGATAGGCTGCCCAGATTCAGATTTCCATCTCATAGTTCACTGGCAGTATCAAAGCTAATGGAGGGGTCCTGGTATTATGGGGAAGTACAGAAGAAAAAGAAGTATGAGTAGATAGAGGTGCTTGTTCTGCTTCAGGGATGGGGAACTGGTGGGTCCTGAAATGTTGACGGGCCATTGGTCATCTGGCTGGGGCTGATGGGAGTTGAAGTTCAACAATAACTGGAGGGTTACGGTTTTCCCTTCCCTGCTCTATGTAGAAATATTCTGCCAGTATGACAGGGTTGTTGGCACCTGTCTGTTTCAAGAGCCAACGGGATGCGACTCCAAGGGTGAAGTCAAAATGCTGCATTAGCAGCACCGAAGCGACCTCCCCAGAATGCAAGCTTGTATGGAGGTCCTGGGCTGCCCAGATGAAAAGACCCTCCTCTCAGCCCCACTGATGTGATCCAAAGGAAAGCAGACCAACAGGTTAGGCACCATCTTGGTTGCAGAAGTTCCCAGAACCGTTCAACTGTCTTAGGGATTCCACTCTTAGCCATTTCTTCTCCTGAAGATATCCGGCATAGCAGTGAAGGTTTAGGATCAGTTTTCCTTCTCCTAGATGAGCTACTTTCCCAGGTTGCCGGCCCTCATCTGCCCCTGTCATCTTCTTTTTGGCAGTCTGCAGGCCATGACAATAGTAGAAGCCCTTTATGGTTCATAAAGTGAATGCTGCTTTCCTTGCTTCTGTTTTACCAGAAATGCTTACCACTACCACCTATGTAACCTGCAGTTACAGCGTAACCTCCGAGCCCATACGGAGCACTGTCTTTGGAGTACCCACTTCTCCAAGTGGCAGAAGAGCTCATAGAAAGCAGGTTTCTTAACGAGGAGAAAAGTTTGCCTTTGGTAATCAGCTGTTTATTTACAAATGTACCAGTTTAGCAGATGGGAAACAGACTATGAACACAAGTAGCAATAGACCGAAAAAGCATCAATCACCGAAAGGCGACAGCAGTCCCCTATGCTATTTTTTTGGTCAGGCAGCTGTGAAAATCTGCATTATTTATTTTCCTCTGCCCATGTTCAATATTGCCTCTTTATCCATTTGGTACAGATAGGGGGCAGCTCACAGGCCTCAGTACCCATCCTGACATGTAAGTTAAGTTTGCATTTCTAAGTGACTGCAGCTGCCCATCTATCAATCAGCATTCATTGTCATTAGCCAAGGCACTAAGTAAGATGGCATACAGCTTACAAGAATGCATATATATTTCCTTGTTTTATTTCAATGATAAAAATGCATTTTATTTGTTTGTTCGAAGTCTGCCCCCTCACCCATCATATCAGTATATCATAGGATTTAGACAAAACTTTTGCAATCTATCAGATTAATGTTCATAGTTTTGCCATCTCTGTGATCACTATGATGCTTGTATTGTTCATTTGATGCTTTCCGGTTTAGGTGCAGATAATACATTTTTCCTTTGGGTTCCTTATTTTTCTTCTTCTTGGTTTCTATCAAAGGTGATGATTCCTCAGGCTTTTATCCTTCCATCTATTATATGCATTACTCTGCACATAAAAGCAACAATGGATGTACATTTTGCACTACACCCTTATGGGAATTCAATACCAAGGGTTATGGCAGACTGCCAGAGGTGCAAGAAAATAATAATTCACACTGTTTGAAAGAAACAGACGAAAATAGTAATAGACAAGAGGTGAAAAGTAGGTTTCTTTTAGCTTTGCAAAATATATCTTGGTTAATTTACGAATGTGCTGAATACAGGTGCCCCTCAAAAAAGTAAGGGTACAAATTCCTTTTTTTTTTACTTCACCAAACATCCTGATTACACACACACACACACACACACACACACTACTTCTTGGGACAAAAATGTAACCTGAGCTTGTGGAATCTCCAAAGGCCTGAGAACATGTAACATTTAACACAAGACGCAAGATCTATCCAAAGTTAAATGACTTTTCAGGCCTAATTTCCATAACAGGGGCTTACCACACAATCTTATCAAGTAGAAATGTGGAACTTTTTCCTGCCAAAGACCTGCATTCTCTTCTGGGCAACCTTCTGGGGGCCACAAGCCAATATCCGGTGAGGCCAAAGGCAGAAGTGGGTTTGGTCGGGCAAAAATGGGCAGAGCAATGAACACAAATTTTACTTTTGTACAACTGTTGTAGAGACTAAGCTCCCCTTTCAGCCCAGGCAAGCAAGATGAGTTGTCAAGAGTTCAATGAGACATTCTAGCCAGGCAAGAACACTAAAGAAGGGTGCAAAGCAGGGCTGGAGTGAAGTGTGGCTTAGGGAGACTCCCCAGGGACTAGACCGAGAGGCTTGGAGAGTTGCATCCAACCCTGTGGTTCCCCATTTCTGCTACAAAGAATTAAGCACATTAAAGTCAATTACTTTTGTTTTTGTTTTTAAAATATTTTTTTATAAATATTTCATTACTAACAATTCAATGGAGGCGACATTAATACAATGCCAATCATGCCGAATCATAATACAATCAAAAGAGCCAATTAAACAGTTCCAAATTAAACATTTTTGGATGACTTCCCATGTTCCAGCTATCAGGAGTTGATGTTATTCCTTGATCCTGCGCCAATTCTCTTAATTAGTCCAAGTTCCACAATTCCGATCTTAATCCTTTGTTCTAGCAGCTACTGATGTCATAACTTTCTACTGTGTTTAATAAATCCAAATCCATTAACTTGCAGAGGGAATTTATATTCTGTAGCTGTGTGAAATATTTGTTTACCTTCTTTTCCTTCATGTGGTAATCAGTCAGTTTTCTTCAACATTGCCCCTCCTTCGAAAACTCATTTGTAGGTATGTCACAGTTCCATTTTGCCTCTCTGAAACCGAAAGCAATCCAGTGTCCAGCCGCAACTTCTGGTTAACTTCCAGTGTTTATCTCCTTGCTTCTTCTAACGAGCAGGCGTCTCACCAAAACTGTAATAAATCAGAACTAGAGCTCTCTTTAGTTGGCAATGTTACAAATCATCACAGTATTTCACACAGTCTATTCTTTCAAGCACTCCATAAAGAAAATTCTAAGTTCTTGTTGAATCCCTCTTGAAATCAATATATAGTCGTAATCCATTAGTAATTTCATTCCATTAATAACAGATTCTTTTTCAGTGAAGGCTTGCCAATTCATAGCACAGCAAAAATAATGTAAAAAAAAGAACAAAGGCTCCCCTTCACTTACGCAGCATTCCAATCACGATAACCAGAGTCCTCTCCAGATCAAAACCTTGGCACTCAGTGGCTGATTCATTTAGAAGGTTATCTTTCTCCTTCTTCCAAAACATGTCTGTTTCTTAAGTCCAAATTCAGATAAAACTTAAAAGAAACAGAGATACCTCCGCTCATGGCAACCACATTGGGGAGTTTCCAATACGTGCAGTGCTATGCCCTCTGTGTCCCTGCCCCTGCATTCCATCGGAGCGTGAAGCAGTTATCGGACGATCCGCGAGAGAAAGCTCTCACCCCCCGAATGCTTGCAAGGATAATTACTCTCAAATTATCCTTAATTAACTGCATGGCTGGCATCCGCTACCATGGGATTGGCAGTTCGCCATGGAAGAAGAAGAGGAGGAGGAGTTTGGACTTGATACCCCGCCTTTCACTCCCCTTAAGGAGTCTCAAAGTGGCTAACATTCTCCTTTCCCCTCCTCCCCCACAACAAACACTCTGTGAGGTGAGTGGGGCTGAGTGACTTCAAAGAAGTGTGACTGGCCCAAGGTCACCCAGCAACTGCATGTGGAGGAGCGGAGACGCAAATCCGGTTCAGCAGATTACGAGACTACCCCTCCTAACCACTACACCACACTGGCTCTGGAGGTTGTGCCGGAAGTCAATTACTTTTGGGTCCTCCCTGCAGGTGTCAGGCAGCCAGAAAGAGGATAATAAATTAGGCAGGTTTTTTGGGGTGGGGTGGGGAAAAGTTTTGCTCCGATGTCTCCCCAAACATACTGGCAACTATATGCACCGATGAAGGAGATGCGGGGAAAAGTGAAAGAAATGTATATTATATATCTGTAGCTGATTATACAATCAAAGACATAAAGATGGTAATAAAGCTTTTGAGCAAGAATATATATAGATATTGATCTAAGCTCTATCCTTTGGGCAAAGAAAATGGATCATTAAGTTGAAATAAATAAATAATTTTACTCTTTCAAATAGACTATGGGACAAATAGGGATCTATCAATTCCAGCTAAAGCTCCAACAGCATCTGTAGTTGATAATATGGAATTTAATTCTATGAGGAGGCTAGATAACTTTGATAAATGGGAAAAAACACGGAACATAAAGATATGAAGATCTCATCAGAAATTCTAAATCCTATCATTTTATGGAGATTAAAACTAAAATATTTTTGAGATTCCCCTTTGGTTTAAAAATCTTCAAGAAAGAACATGTTTGTAAAGCTGGATAGCAAAAGGAGAGAGAAATGGATTTTGAAAAAATTGATCTCTAGTACTACCGAACACAGGTGATCAAAAGTACATATTATCTTGTTTAAATTAAAATATCAGTCAAAAAAGTAAAAGAAACTATTAATGCACACAGGATTTGAATACTGTCATATCTTTTACAACCTGTGAATATTTATTGTTAAAAGGCCACTACTTCTCAAAAAGTATATAAAAAAGTTTTACCTCAGTGACACACACACAAACACATATATAAAATCACTCACTGAACTTTACAAAAATAATAGGAATTATAGCAAGATGTGCTGGAAATACGTATTTTTCCTCCTGAACAATTTATTGTTTCCACTTATTTATACAAAGAGCAGCAGTCAACATCAACAATCCAACCCACCCCCAGCAAAAGAAGCAAACATCTGTTTAAGTAAATTAAACTTTAAAGCCATTTCAGTTTTTAAACAAATGTATCAGTTCACAATTTGTTATATGTCCTAGTGATTCTGCATATGTAATAAAACTATGCAAGGTTGATTGAAAAGTAGTGGTTGTGTTTTCTGTTCAACTATCTTGGACACGGACTGTCAGTTTGCCCATTAAGTCCCAAAGTTGTGAGATCCAGATCTCAAATACTGTAGGTCTGCATTTGGAATCTTCCAACACCTTGCACAGTATGCCGTGAGAAAGTTGTGAACAGTTTCTGAGTAGGAGTGGTATTTTAGGATCCAAAGAGATAAATCACTCTTACACTGGTACGTTGATTCGTTTATTCCTCTCCAGGTGTTGCTAGACGACATCTCCCACTATCACTGACCACTGGCCATGTTGGATGGGGCTGAAGGGAGATGGAATCCGACAACACCTGAAGGGTCAGTTTCCCCACCCCTGTTAGTTTAGAACTGTTAGCACATTGCTTTGGGAAGTTATGCCTTTAAAATTAGATGATGACATTAGCTGTGCTTCACATGGTACGATTTCTTAAACATTACTTGGGTTGTGTATGGAGAACTCACCATGGGCAATTCGAGTGGCATCCACATGGCAAAACTGGTGTGTTCTCCTGCTTCAACAATGCCTTGTACCAGTTCCAAGTAGGACTGAGACAAAAGGGGACACCTTTCATTAAAAAGTCTATGATTATATGAAAGAGGCTGACAATTTGTGCTCATTCAGTGGGCAGTGCTGATCCAGGGAGTATCGCCTTCAGTCTCAGTCAGCTTTCTTTGTCCTCAATGCTATCTCCAATGTTATTTCCGGGCTACGTAGTGAATATGATTATGTCCTAGCACTATGTGATCGCTGGTTGCCTGGGACCAGTACAAGAAAGAAAAAGCAACCCTGAGCATAAACAAGTATAGTGAAGGGCAAAAAGGACAGATGAAATGAAGAAACAAAAGGAAAGGACTTGACTACTAAAGGGACATTCACAAATAACCTCAAAGTTGTATTTCTGGTCCAAAAAAATTAAAAAAGAAAACATTCAGTGCAGCCTTAATTCAACTACACCTGTTTAGACAAAGGACAAAACTAGCAATCCCAGCAAAACTTCAAGAAAAGGTCTGTGATTGTTCATAAAAGGGTTCCTGGCTGAAGTGGATGTCGCCTCCAGGAGCAGCAAGTCAACAAGAAACAAGTGGAAATTTTTATTTGAAGCTATAAAAAGTGAAAATAAGAAATACTGTAATCTTGCCCATCCATCAGAAGATAATTGTTGTTTTTCCGCTTAGTGGCACAGTATGGCTTTCTAAGGGTCGCTGGAAGAGCTGTAGTTTCTCAAGGACAGCTCTGATTATGAAGGATGGTCCCAATGTCCCAGTAAGATGCTTTAATATCTTTTTCTTCCACTTCACTCTTTCCTTTTCCATGCCATGCTGGCAGCTGTATAAAAGCTTGCACTAATCCCCAGAGCCCCTAAAGAAAGTGAATGAGGCAGAGAGAGGGCAAGGTGAACACTGACACTGGCAGCTGATGTGAATGGAAGAAAAGGTCATAACATGAACCCTATTTGGGGCAGTGGCAACTGTTCCCTGTTTCTTTGGGCTTTGCAGAACCTAAGGTTAAGAGGTGTGAAAAGGCCAGAAGTAGTTGCTTGCTCTCCTTATCCACTGTTCAGTCTGGATTAAGGGAATCTCAAGGTTACATAAACTGGATGTCAGAAAGACAGACACCTTGATACATAGCTGAAGTTCCTCTAAACAAAATGGAAGCTTCTGTTGTTGTGTTTTTTTCTAAATGTAGGTGGTGAAATGTCCTCCTGCCTGCAACGTGGAGGAGGTGGAGAAAGGCACTCAATCTGCTTCCTAACGCATGTTAACATGCTTTTAAAATATGGCAACCACTTTTGTTTATATAAAGGTAAAGGGACCCCTGACCATTAGGTCCAGTTGTGATCGACTCTGGGGTTGCGGCGCTCATCTCGCTTTATTGGCCGAGGGAGCCAGCGTACAGCTTCCGGGTCATGTGGCCAGCATGACAAAGCCGCTTCTGGAGAACCAGAGCAGCACACCGAAACGCCGTTTACCTTCCCGCCGGAGCAGTACCTATTTATCTACTTGCACTTTGACGTGCTTTCGAACTGCTAGGTTGGCAGGAGCAGGGACCCCGTTGCGGAGATTTGAACCGCCGACCTTCGGATCGGCAAGTCCTAGGCTCTGTGGTTTAACCCACAGCACCACCCGCACCCCCATTTGTTTATATAAAATTATATAATTCAGAAGAAAAAAGAAACACCAAGTTGAAGCAAGACTTGTGCTTCACTCAAAGGACGCTCCTGTCAACAAGGGAAAGGCAACCATTGTTGATTCCCCCTGATTTGGAGGGTTGGAGGGCCTCCAAAACAGTGTGGGACAGCAGGGGGAGGTGGAATTGGCAAAAAAAATAATGCTCCCTATATCTGCCAGTGGTATCTTTCCATCGGCTTAAAAGCCTTCTACAGATGAAGGAGCTTTCCAATCCACAGAAACCAAAGACTGGATCCATCCCACTGAGATTTATATCAGCGCTAACTAAATTGTGTTTAGTAGCACTGAGAGTGGGTCACTTTTTGGTACTTCCACTTGTGGTGAGTTGCTTTGTTCAGCAGGAAAGTGGTATATAAAGTTTGAAATAAATGAACAAACTGGGCACACAACAGGACAGTTGGCTGCAGAGGTCAAAGTCATTGTTGTTACTCCACCATCACACTTTGCATGCATAAAAGGAGATGGTCAACTAAGAAATCTCTCATTACAGGGGATCAAAACCTTGCATATGTACCTGCTCAAAGCAGGCATTTCCCCATTGATTTCCTCCTTTCACATATGGCAAAAGAGCATCCATCAAGCAGGCACAACTGAAAGCACTGGATGGGATACTGAAAGACTGTAATCCATCAGCAGACACGTCTGAGAGGGTTTTTAAATGTTGAAGAAATCAAAGTGCTACACACGGCCACAACGTTCATTTGGTGTATTTGAATGGTTACCATACGCTATGCTACAAAGTCAACATCAATCTATAAGCAGAACAAAAGTGCAATCTATTCTTAGGAAGTGATTTATTACATGTGAAATAACTTTCATCTGCAATGCTGTCCTGGATACGTTCTATGTAAAATTATCAACCCTTCTTCTAGTGACAATGATGCTGGTGGTGTAACCAAAATGGCTATATATCCACAAATGACCAAATCTGGTAGCTCATTAATCCTGTCAGTACAGTCCTGTGATTTAGTGGGAATGTTAATGTGTCAGAACATGCTCTGGCTTCTCTTTCTTTCTTTCTTATTAAGAGAAAGATGTTAATCCTTATAGAAAAATCCTACACATTTTATGGGTTAGTCAATATAAATTCATTAATTTCATGTCATGGCTACAATATAGTCTTCCCTAACCCCACCAAACAGATAGTATAGCATTAATTAAATGTATGCAGAACCAAATGCACATAAAACAAATTTACCCTTGCCTTCAGCCAACCAAATGGATGCTACTTAGGCTCAAATTGTAATCTGTTCTAGAACAGCTGGTGCAGCTGGTACTGCAGCTGGCTAACCCATTACTCACCCTAGGTGACTAGCTGTTTACAAGTCTGTGCTGGGCAATTTCTGCTCTCAAATCGTGGCTGAAGCCAAATTTCAGGTGAATTTGGAGATTCCTTATTGTGCGGAACATCCAATACATTCTGAGAGAAGCACATAGTAATAAAACTAGATACTTTTCTCAGGAGGCATTCTACATTTCTTTAACTTGCCTCGCAATTTGACCAATACAGTAGTGAAATTTAAGAGAGAACTTTATTTCTGCTGATGCTAAACATCGGAGTTATTTTGAGGACGCACAAAGGGTTTAGTTATGTCTAGCAAACTTTCTTAGAGGGCTTCTGCATTTCCTTAGGACCACTCTGTTTCATAGTAGACAAATAAATGTTTTAAAATGTATCAAAATGGTTCCCATATGCAATGTTATGTAGTCAACAACAATCCACAGGCGGAACTAAAGTGCAATCATTGATTGGGAAGTGATTTATTACATGTGCAATAACTTTCTCCAGCGCTGTTTTGGACTCCTTGTGTGTAATATTAGCAGACCTTTTCCCATTGACAGCTATTATCCTGAAAATGTAACCCAAATTGCCATATGTTTATTATTCTATGACAATGACTTTAATTAGTGGGGCTAAGTGTTAAGGGTACATGTCTACTTTTTGTGGAGGAAAATCGGAGGAGTCAAAAACTATTCACAGTTCATGCTTGGCCACAACAACACACAAAGGTTGTTCTCAACATCCATTATGAACATATAAAATTCTTGTAATGCACAAAGGAAACATGCACTCAAACTGGTAAAACAGCATGTCACTATGCTATGGGAAAATATTAACTTCACTGTATGACACCTAGTCATTTTTGGTGTTTTAGAAATCTAAGTCTACCTAATACCTATTCTGGAAAGCTGGTTTTTCATTGCACATTTGAACACCTCCTAAAATATCATAACCAATTTTTGCATGATTGTTCCTGCAATCAAAGAGCTTTTGTCCATGTTTGGATACAACTGGGTGCCATTTTAAATCAAGATGGTTGACTGAACCTGTGAAAGCTGCACTGATTTTAACCACTGATTACAAACCAGCCTGATGTTTTGGGTTTCTTAGGATTTCTAAGCACAGCTGGCCATAAGGCTGCTAGTGTACAATATGAATAAGTGAATACTTAACATTACACCCCATACTAAGACCACAAGGAAGGAAGGAATGAGAAACAGGCCAGGGTTATGCAGAAAGACCACGACCTGGTTCCCAATGGGCCCCTTTGAGTTTTATGGGACAAAGTACATGGGCAGCAATCTGGGGGTACAGCTCAAAGAAAGCAAAACTGGATTGCCACTTTAGATACTGGTAACCAAGGAATGTCTTAGCCAAATGCAGCTTTTTTATTTCTTCCATATAAGTGAACTGTTGTCCATTACTACCAGAAAAAGTGAAGGGTAACATTTGGGGGCAATACTGATGTGATGGCCTGGGATTCGGACTCGGAGGCTGAACCTGAGGAATCCCAGCTTGCACAGGAGTCCTCGCCTCCAGAACCAGCTGAGCCGGGGCTGGGGCTTGAGCCTGAAGGGTCCTCACCTGTGCTGGATCCTCAGGTGCAGGCACCAGCTGAGCCTGCTCTGGCTCCTGAGGTGATGGAGGACCCATTGCCTGCAGGTGCTCCACTCTCAGCCCCGTCAGGGGATGCTGAGATTGCCTCTGGGTCCAGCAACCCTCCAGTCTCTCCTGAGCTGCAGAGGCTAAGGGCAGAGAGGTGGAGGGAACTAAGTTCCCGCAGGAGGAGTGCTCGCCTCCAGGCCAGGAGAGGCGAGTCACCTGTGGACTGGGGCTCCCCTATGCCTCGGGGCAGATAAAAGCCAGCCAGCCCCAGTCCCAGGTTGCGGGAGCAACATTGTTGGTAGTCTGTTCCTGCCTGCACCCTGTCCTGCTCTTCTGCTAGAGTTCCTGACCTCACCCGACTCCCTGCCTTGGACCCAGCTTCAGCTTTGATGGACAGCCTCCATACCACACCCTCGACCTCGGACTGGACCCAGACCTCGCTGCACGGTTAACCCTTGGGACCAGCACAACTGAACTGGAAGAGCTCCCACACGACCCAGATGCCAAGTGGTTGGCCTCCATCCGTGGTTGCTGGGCCTCAAAGAGTTTGACCTAAAGTTTCAGGGTTTAATCCTCTTCTCAGGGTCTCGGGGCGGGGGAGTAAAATCTTAGGGTGAAAGTGAAGAGCAAACAATAATATTTTCTGCTTGGTTCGAGAACTTTTGCTAAGTGCTCCACCAGCACACCCATCAGATGCTACACTTAGGCACCACACACAGCAAGGATCTTCCTCAGACATGCCAAGAGCGATTTTCTGCCTTTATCTGGCACCATTAAGTTTTTCTACCAAGCGTCATCCAAGGTCTGCCCCCTAAATCTGATGGTCTAAGCCTCAAGATACCTGACAATGGCAACAAAGGAGACCTGTTGGAGGGCCCCTCGTAAATGCAGACCCTCCCTCTGTACACACACTGATCATCATCATGGCAAACATTTTGTAAGCCATAAGTAAAAATAATTGCTTGTGGAGATGTTGCTTACAACAATGTGTTGCAATATTGTTTCATTAAGTTCTTGGTTATCACACTTTATCAAAACTCATGTTTTCAAGCGAATTATGTTTAGCTTTGCCCTTTTAGCAGTTCTGGGAAACTCCTGGGATGATTCCCTCCCCCCTACACACATAAACACACTCCACCCCTGCTCCTTGATCCTTCCATCTTGCTCAGTTCATTTTTATTTGTTTTCATCTTCCTTTGCAAAGTTTTAAAGCAGCCCCGTGCTGTCTATATGGCTGTTTATAGATTATATTTCTAGCTGACGGCTGTGCTTCTAATGTAATTTCTATAACTTTTCACTTGTTTAGCAGTTTCCCTTTCAGATGAATGTCTTAATCCCCCAAGTGCATTGTTTTCCACAAATATTTTGTGGTTTATATTGGCACTCTACGCACTGTTCTGTTTTAAACTGTGATTCATGTGGAGTTTTGCCTGCGAGGGTTGAAATATTACGAGGATTGAAACTTTCATCTTATTTCAAGGTTTGTTTTGCCTTCAGAAAAGGGCTGAACCCAAAGAAATCCAAGCAATACTGAAATCCAAGAAAATTTAATTCTTCCACAATCATTAGCCTGGTTATTTTGTTCCATATGCATCCTTACATGATTATAGTCATATTAATCACTGCATATGCATTAGCTTCAGACAGCAGCACATTAGCCCAAAGGTTAGCTATGAAGCAAGTTCCCTAATAAACATGAAAGCTGTCCAACAGAAGAAAATGGCGTCATTGGGAGTGTTGTTTGGATGTTGAACACATTCAAAAAAGGGTCTGCTGGGCAGGAAGTCACAGAGGCCAGCAATGCAGAGCAAATTTTGGGCAGATAACTATATACATAAACAAAACTAAATAATTTTATTCCGCAGTGCCATTGTATCAGAATGCATCTGACTCAAGGGGTTAAATGAAAGCAGTAATGAATTATTAGCTTGGGGGTATTACGTTTTGTTGCATGTTTTGTTGTACCTGTTATGACAAATAATTCTTCAAGGGAAAAGGCTCACATTTTGAATGTTTTTCAAAAAGTCAAAAGAAATATATATGAAGTTTTGCAACATTTACATATATGAACACTTGATTTGTTAAGATATTAAGTCTGTGTTCTCATGATACTGTAGTATTTAAAAACAAAAAAAAGTAAGCTCATTTAAGATTTTGTTTTGTTGTTCTACCTCAATCAATTTAGGAACTTGGCATCCTTATGTTCAGAAAACACAAGGGAATGTTGAAATATACAGATTCTTCTTTGCTTATGTGGAATGTGTCAACTAGCTTATTAATATTTACACATTCATAGGTCTGACATCTGTCAGCATTAAACATTATTTTGTTTTTAATGAGATAATTGATAGATTTATCATTCTGTCCTCAAAACAGCAGGGACAAATTCTTGGGAGGGATTAAAAAAAAAAGTCTCTGAAAAGTTGCGGCAGATTGTAAAGTAGCGGGATTCCCCTTGTTTCTGAAAAGGTTGTATTTGTAGCCTGAGAATACTCTAAGAACATAAGACTATCCTTATGTTCTGTTGGATCAGACTATAGACCCATCTAGTCTAGCATCCTGTTCTCACAGTGGCCAACCAGATGTCTGTTGGGAACTCACAAATAGGACCTGAAACAGCCACCAATATACAGAGGAACACTGCCTCCAATTCTGGCGATATCACGCAATCATCCTGGCTAATAGCCACCGATAGCCTTGTCCTCCATGAATTGATCTATCCCCCTCTGTAAGGCCATCCAAGTTGCTGGCCATTGCTACATTTCGTGATTCATTCTAGGAGTGCAGAACAACATTACTGACCTGCTTAAGGCACGATCCATGATTCAGCAAATAATTTTTAAAACATACAAATGCTATTAGCTGTTTCTGGTTTATGTTAATTTAATGTAAAATAGCAAAGAGAAGGCTTCAAAATTTCCCACTGATATAGTAAATGGTTTGAAATGAACTATAATGAACTATTTTGCACTATGCCCTACATTTCCCCAAGGGATAAGAAATTAATCTAAGAGGAGACTTTCCCTTGGAAGGTGGGAATACTAGAGTCTTATGGTGCCTTTGTAGTATCTGTTTATTTACAGCTATAGCAGCTCGAAAGCACGTCAAAGTGCAAGTAGATAAATAGGTACCGCTTTGGCGGGAAGATAAACGGCGTTTCCGTGCGCTGCTCTGGTTCGCCAGAAGCGGTTTAGTCATGCTGGCCACATGACCCGGAAGCTGTACGCCGGCTCCCTCAGCCAGTAATGCGAGATGAGTACCGCAACCCCAGAGTCGTCCGCGACTGGACCTAATGGTCAGGGGTCCCTTTACCTTTACCTTTATGCTGAGCAGGAGATGGGGATGGAGTAGGGATATATTCAAAACCAGGAAAACAGTGCTCATTTCAAAAATAGCCTAATTTCCTAATAGCTCCTTGAGACTCCTTGCTAGATACCTACAAAACTCAAACTTTTGCCTGCTGCACTGGTTACATTCCTAAAAAAGAACTCTTTATCTCCAGCCCCACCTAAACATGGAGGTGGGGTGTTCGGTACCTAAAAAGGTAAGAGCCATAAATGCTCATTTATGCAAATTTTATTCCATCCTTCAGTGACCATTAATGAGTCATCACCAGCTATTAACAAGAAAAGTCTTGGGATAAAAGGTTGTCCTCTCATTTGATGGGTGTAACAACATACAGGAACATACAGGAATTGGGAATATTTAGCATGAAAGAAGACGACTTGCAATTGGGTTCAGGTACTTGAGAGAAACTAGTAAGAAGCTTATTGTGGCTGAGCTTTTGTGGGTAGAGTCATCAGGCCATTGAGGGCCAGTGAAGATGATGAATGCACAAATACTGGTCTGCAAGCTGTGAGTAAACATATCCACAGATTTCATACATTCATCAATCCAATTAAATTAATGAGATTCAGTCACTAGGGGTCAATAAACTTATGGATGTGGATCAGACAAGGTACACCAAAGCTTAGAAGCCTACTGCTCACTTTTCACAACACGACAGGGTGATCCAGACATGTGCTTCTCCATGTATACTAAATGTGTGGAGGTCAAAGTGGAACCAAATCTTGTGATCAATTAGCACAACATGACAGGGTCACATGGAAATCTGCCTCCACATTAATACTAAAGCAATTGTTTACTCCTTATCCAGAGCACTCCCACTGTGGGTTTGGAGAGAGGTGTACGCAAGTCATTAGTGACAACCCATCTGCATCCTGAGTGGTCACCTCACTTTACCTGATTGTGGGGCTGACACTGGATGGACCAGTCTTGCACATTGAAAATATAACCAGTGCTTTCTGTAGTGCTTTTAATATGCTCATTTGATATTGTGGAATTTTATCTCTTGTGTAACACAAGTCCAGTAATTAAATGTTTACTCAGTCTAAAATACAGCATTCACAGTTAAGCTAACAACAAAATTGGAAGTGATTTCCAGTACACAGTCCAAGGCTCCAGTTCTGGATATGAAAACAAAACCAGGGTCCTAGGCTAAATTCTCCTTTCCAGGCCTTCAAACATTTGCACATGTCCAATTACTATACCATTTGTAACAGCCACATCATTTCTCAGTAACAGTTTAGACCCTGAGCTTAGAGAAGGTTTTATGACACTCAATCAAAAGGAGTGTTTATTGTTTATGAGCAACTAATGTGTTTCTGCTATTCACACTTTCTTCTTGGCAAGAGAAAAGTACTTTGTACTAAATATACAATTAGGATAACGTGTTTTGCTAGCTTGCAGTAAGTCACGTAGCATGAAGAATCCTAAGGTATGTAAAGCAATCCATTATACCCCCTCCCTTTAAGGATATGGGCCTCCTAGAAGCACATTCTAAGAAAGAAATGATATTTACCCATATAAGACTGAGAGAGCATAAGAATGATATTGTTGAAGCAAACCAAGCTCCTTCAAGTTCAGCACTGTTGCCAAGAGTAGACGAGTTTTGACCCACTGGAAAGCACACACATGCCATGGGGCACAATTTTATTTATTTACATGGCTGATTTCTGCTTAAACAATGGGTGGGCAAACTAAGGCCCAATCGCCTTCTCAATCCAGCCCGCGGATGGTCCGGGAATCAGCGTGTTTTTACATGAGTAGAATGTGTGCTTTTATTTAAAATGCATCTCTGGGTTATTTGTGGGGCATAGGAATTTGTTGTTTCCCCAAAAAAATATATTCCAGCCCCCCACAAGGTCTGAGGGATAGTGGACCGGCCCCCTGCTGAAAAAGTTTGCTGACCCCTGGTTTAAACACTGAAGGCTCAATTCACTCCCTCCCCAGTTCAGCCACATTTGCTACCAGATGAATTCATGAAATCATAGTTCCTGCTAGTCACACTGACTGGCAAATCCACCAGAGCACTGGATCCAGGGCTGGTGGAAGCAGGTGGCCAGCCGGGTGGAACATTGGCCAATGACCCTTCGAAGTCATGGTGCTCCTCACTCTAGGTAAGGTAGAGGTGGGTGGGTGGGTGTGACAGAGGAGAGAATGCAAGAGAGATATGAGCCTTAGAATGGAAGGAAACTATTCCTGGGTTTGTCAAGCGCACAGCATACTGCTACTGCCTTTCCTCTATTCTTTGCCTCTCTTCCTTCTATCCATTGTCTGGTTACCTTCCTTGCCTCCATCTTTTTTCTCTATCCTCAGCTTCCCTTCTTCACTTAAGCTCATTTCCCTCCATCTGTTCACATTCTCTCCCCCCCCCCCATTTCCATTTGTCCCTTCCTTCCTTTTTTATAGTTACGGTACATTATTCTATTTCTTCCGTTGTACAAATCAGAGGGGCTTGCTCCCTTTCGTGTTTGTGGGGCCTCTTTATTTAGCAAAGGGTTATTTTAAACCAACTGAGCTAGGTTTTGTGGAAACAAAGTTAACTTTGGCTAACTTTGTTTGGCTTGGCCGCAATCAGGCCCTTCAACTGGGGCCCAGAAGAAAAGTTTTCATGTTGTCTGGATAGATCAAGGCTGGGCATTACCCCTCTCCCTCCCCCCGTCAGTTGGGCAACACCTAGAGAAATGTTTATACAGTACTTAAGTACTTATTTCGTTCTGGAGGTCTGTTCTTAACCTGAAACTGTTCTTAACCTGAAGCACCACTTTAGCTAATGGGGCCTCCTGCTGCTGCCACGCCGCCAGAGCACAATTTCTGTTCTCATCCTGAAGCAAAGTTCTTAACCCGAGGTACTATTTCTGGGTTAGTGGAGTCTGTAACCTGAAGCGTATGTAAACCTGAGGTATCACTGTAAAGTTATACATTGAATTACTATCACAATTTGTCTGTGGCTGGTAGAAAAGATGGGGGGGGGAGCGGGAATGAAGCACATAGAAGATGAAACCAGACATGCTTGCAATCAGTGGCATAGGAAGCATGTAGGAACCACCCAGCAGAGTTTGTGGAATTCCTGGAAATGGGCATACTTAGCCAAGTTCAAAAACTTAACATAGGAGTCACTGGGGCAGAAAGCTCAGAATATGCTTGGATCCAAAACTGGTACAGACACCCAGACCACTACCAACATGTTGGTAAAATTCTGCCCATAAATAAATAAAGTTGTGCCCTAGCTGTACTCCAAGACTCTAGGAGCTCTGTTACAATGCAACAGTTTTCAGGTTTGTGGAGTTTGCCATCTTTCCTCTGCTGATGATTTAATAGTTTCCACTGGGGTTAATATTTGCTGAAAGGAGATTCTCTATTTATTTAGCCTTTGCTTTTTAAGACTGCTTTATATATTAGATAGATAGATATTGTATAATCCCGTTTTAATTGTAAGTTGCATTTTGCATTAAGTGGTGAATAAATTTAAGAAGCGGAGGAGGAAGCGCTAGTTCCCACCCCTTTCTTGCAGATCACAAACTCTAATTTTTCTGTGATTCTGTTTGACTGAAACATAAAGGTTAAATCAGTACTAATGGGCCAATATAGATCTATCTGGAAAAGAAATGCTAATTAGATCCATATTGACTATGAGTGCTTTGCTGAGTGAAAGCCATTAAGAGCAATGCTAAAGGGCAAGAGTTGCATGCACCAAATTGAGAACACTTAGCTACTGCATGCAAGATACTCAGCGTGCCTGTGTGATCTGATAATCAATTTTGTTGCACACAACAGTCACAGTGAAGGGTTTTTTTAGGGTGGGATGCAGGGAGTAGTTTGAAAATGTATTGTCAAACAGCATTGAAGGTGATACCTTCATATATACACATAATAGCAATATTCAGGTGAAAATAGTAAAACCGGAGACAACTGCAGCAGTTTTCATTGTGTGCAATACAAAACCTAAAGACATATATACCAAGTACTCGGTCAATGATGTTTCAGTCTCTATGAGAAAAAGCAATCAGGTCTCAAATAAGCAATAGTTTTGTGTACTTGTAGTTTTGGATCCTACAAGTACTAGTAAATTTCACATACACCTCCAAAATAGTCCAAATGGCTTCCCCATGCTTTCTGGGGGGCAATGGTAAGACAGTCCATCACTGAAGCCAATAGGTCAAAGTGGCAGCCACAAACCACTCAGCTTAGTAATAGCTCACTAACTTCCTCTGAGCTGGCAGTAATACAGCACTGGCCTACATCCTTCATTCCAGTTGGAACTTAAATTGTCTGCAACAAATGGTAAGAACCTTGAGTTTGCTGCCATGTTGCCTTATTTGCTCTGGTCACTATCAGGGCAGCATTAGCTAGGCAATAGAGAAGGAGATCAATGGTGGATAATGGAAAGGGGGGCTGAATCGCATAGGGCTGTTCTGTATGGATCATTCCACTCTGAGACAGCCACTAGGCACCACCACCATCCCTTCTGTCCATTGGTTGGCCCAGCCTCTGCCCTTATAAGCCCAAGGTCTAACTAGTCCTCCCAGTCCAATGACTGCTGCCACACATCAACCAGATGAACAGCAGTGTTCATTTAGGTTGAAAACAAGAGAATGTTAAGGAGGGTAAAAAATCACACTAGAGGCAGGATGGTCAAACTGAAGAACCCAGCCAAACGTGAATTCATCAGAGAATGTGAAGCACTATAGTTTCTTTCCACCACTTGATAATCTGCATCATCATCAGTAGGGTTATCCTAATGCATCAGAGATCCTGTCAACTCAGGGAGGTAGTGGCTGTGGTAAGAGGGTAGGAACTGAAGCAATGAGTTGGTGCTGATCTAGAACAGAAAAGATTCAGGAAATTGGGCAGGACAACAGCTCCTGACCAAGGGATTGTTGGCATGAGATCAGTACCACACCTTGCAATTCTGCTGCTAGAGTAGGAGGCGAGTTACCTAAGTATCAGCAACTATCAGGGTTTATAGACTGGCCAAGGGTTTGTGTCTACATGGTTCCATCCCCCACTCCCATTCACCTTGCCCCACACAGATGCTGCATCTGACTGTTTTCAAGAGTCCATATCTTGCTTTGCAGTCTTGGGATCATTTTGGAAAGTGAATGCCAGAGCAGTGGAGACTTGATTGGGAAATGTTTTCCAGGGACTCCTTTGAAAGCCCTACTTGGAAAGGACTAGGGAGATGGTCTGGCTCCTCCTCTGAACCAGAGAACTCAGTCTCTGAAGATTCTTGGGCCAGGCCACAACAAGACTATAATACATCCTGGCCAGCTGCATCAGTGTTATCCAAGATACTGAGTGTCACCCTCATAGCTGTGCAGGGAATCAGATGCTGGAGCTGACGGACTTCCTTGATTGAGAACCATAGTGCATATCAGTAGAAACAGAGGTCAAACATAAAATGTTGCTACCACAGTAAGTCCTGCAGAATATAAGTAGTTCATTGCTTTTGGCTTTGTGGACTGTGGTAGTCATTTAGGGCCAGCATTACTATTAGGAAATTTCTTCTCCTCTGTAATGATAGCTAGCTTTTTGCTTGTGCATAAAATTGCACTCAATTCCTCAACCTTCGCTCATATAAGGCTATCTCCATTTAAGTAATACATCTTCAGTGCAGTTCACTTCATTGATGTATTACAGTAACATGTCATTAGTGCAACAGCACTACAAGGTGCTTTGATGATGTATTAATAGAATACATCATCAGAATGAGTCACTCTGTTGATGTATAACTCAAAAGATGGTACTATCTAGGGTAATGTGCACATTTAATTTATCAGAAAAACATTAGGATCCAAGATCAAAGACACCCTTTAAAGGGAATCAATGGGTTGGAAAAGCCTGAGATTCCTATGGATTAAGACTTGGGATTGCTATGGTTTTATTTAAGGAATTATTTGAAAATGTATTAAGCATGGAGTGGTTTTTTTAAAAAAGGAAACAACAGCAGCAATCAAGTCAAACAAACACCACTGCCAGACCAAGTTCATAGCAATTATCTTTCATTTTTTGTTCTTTAGTGTCCAGGGCAGAGCCCATAACCCCCCACTTGCCATACAGTGTGATAGGTTGTTTGTTTCTTTACATTTAGAACCTGCCATTTCCTTGATATCTCAGGGCAGATCACAACCATTATGAAGCAGAATATATTTCGGGTAGGGTTTAATGGCTGCCAGCTAAGCATACTTACCCATTAAAGTCTTATTTAACTCAGTGGCAACTTAATAGGACTTGCTTCTGGGGAAACACACACAGAGCTGTGCTATATATCATGCTTAATTTATTGCTAGACTGTGCCTATTATGGATTTTAAAAGAAACAAAAAAGAGATGGTGCTGATTGAGAGAGATCATTTTATTTATTAAGCCACCTCTGTTAGTTATCATTCAATTCTTTGTCATTGTAACTGTTTGATCTTCTGTTTGACTGTATTTGAATCAAATACATTTTGATAAAAGTGGGAAAGAAACCAGTTCTTTTAAAAAAAATAGTACTCTTGCCCACATAAAAAGGTCTTATGTTGCCTCCAGAAGATGGCCTTATTGTTCTAGCGTGGGTGGTATGCTCAAAATGACATTACCAATTAACTTTAGAGATCTGTAATCAACTAGAATAGCTAGTATAATCTATCTTGATTATATCATCTCTTTCCGATAGGAATAAATGTGAACACCAAGTAATACAAAACAAAGAGTTTTTGTAACCCACAAACCCATTGTCTGATGTAGATATTTTAAGATTGCTGTATGAACAGAGATATCTAACTCACCTATCCTATGCAGCTGCCACTGGGAAAAATAAACAACAGCTGGATGTGCAAACCGTTACACAGACTAGCTGGAGGTTTAAGAACTAATGTGCTTCCATATGTATATTACATGAAAGCAACAAATTTAGATGCTGTTTCCAGTGTTCACAGTTTCTGCAGATATCTAAGACTGTAAGGCAGAAAAATGTGAAACTCCTTTGAAATAAAGAGAGGTTTTCCATATCCCTGATGATCATAAATTATTGGAGGAATTATTTCCTTTGCCAGTAGTCTTAAAAGCCGGAGAAATTTATTTGTCATCCCCCAAAAAAAACATGTGTCTGGTGGGTTGTGTTTAACATAATATTTCAATTCATTCCCACCTTCATTTGCCTGCTTTTGGTTGCAGAATATGCAGAAGTCTGTAAGCGTTTCAGATAAAGATGTCGGATGATGTTGGACATCACTTTGAAACAGATGGTCTTTTTGTTGACATTGGCCTATATTTGTAAAACTTGAAGAGCTGTGAATCTTCTGTAACATGAACTGTGGTATCCTGAATCATTTGGAATTACAGCATGTAGGCCATTACACAGCATGAAGGATTTCAAAGTCTTTCAGTTTGCTGTCTTAAGTCATTTACAAGTGGCAATTGCGACATTGTTCCATTTTTGTGGGCTGAATTCCTTGACAGTTTCGGGTGAGGAGTGATTATCAGTGTAGAGAATTGCCTCCATATTCAGACTATCTGTTTTTACAAGCATCTTCAGTTACCCAAGACAAACTTCTTTTTTAACTACTTTTTTTGTTGAAAACCCTTATTATTTGGTTATAATCATAAAGGACACATAGAATGTGTTTCTTATAATGTTCCAGAGAGTGCTCTTTCAATAATCTGGATATTATTATTATTATTATTAAAAGCATACTGAATTTGAAAACAATGTTTGTGTTCTACTACCAAAGATACTTAAGAAACACATTTTCAAAAATCCTATCAGGGGACTGCTGTTTCAAACTTCGCTCACCAGACAAATGATAATTTTCAACATATAAATCACCCCGTCTCTCCTGTATTATGTGAGGAGTCTCAGTTGAAGAGATTCTATGGGAAGTACTCATCGCAATTGCATGTAGGGTCTTCCTTAGGCTCAAAGTCCTCCTTGTAGCTCAGTCTGCCTATACCCTTTGACCCAGCTTGTTTCTGCTCTCTGCAAATGAGTTGCTTCTTTTCAATGGTATGGATCAGGGGTGGTCAATGGGCCCACAAACTGGAATCCATTTTGATATCCTTTTGATCTAGCAGTTGTACAAGTTTCCAGTCAAGAGGGGGGAAAACTGTTTCACTAAAAAGAATAAGGATATGTTCACAACTTGTCGGAATCAGAGATATTGCCCACTTTAAATCAGGGGTGGTTAATTCCCATCCAGCATGGCCAAAGGCTAGATATGACAAAAATTGTAGTTCAGAACATCTGGGCAGCCATAGTTTAGCCACGTCTCCTTTAAATGTTATCTATCTTGTTAAAGTCTTTGTATGGAACACAAATACTGTGTGTGTGTGTGTGTGTGTGTGTGTGTGTGTCACAGCTCTCAAATGGGAAGAACAAGGGGTGCCTCAGAGATCCTGCACCAAACCCCAAAGAAACTACTGGCTGAATTGGGGCAGCCCACAGCTGCCCTTCATAATCATGGCAGTCCAAAATGTCTTGTCAGGGGCCCCTACAAATTTCCTGCAAACCAAATAATTGGGTGGCTGTTCCCCACTGCTGCTGGGTAAGGAATAGAGGAGGACTCTGAGTGAAGCAAACCCCACTCGCTCCAAATCTGAGGCTGCTCAAGAACGTAAGATGATACAACCTCCTCCCTCCCGCTATTTCCTGAGAAATGTTGCCCCTACAGATGTTGGCCAGCCATCCTTGGTCTAGCCATCGCTATCAGAAGCATTACCACTATCGCTACATCAGCCATTAACAGAGAGGCGTCCTGCAACATCTGAGTAATCCCAGCCACCCTGTGTAAACGCATCACACTGCTGAATGCCTTTTAATTAACTTCAAGCAGTACTGACTTGGAAGCACTTTTAAAGCCTCTTTGGAGACTTGTAAAAAGAAAGAAGCAAAAAATGAGGCTATCTGGGGAAGGGGTGCATGCAGTGTCTTTTAAATGGAACATTGCTACTTGCTGCTTAATTCAGCTCACAGCCGTCAATTCATAATCATACGGCCACATGCTCCTCCCCCCCCCACCCCAAGTAAAAGCTATAGGTGCTCTTCGGCTGGCAAGTATCATAGAACAGTTTCCGTCAGGTGGGTTCCATTACAGAAGCTACATCTACCTCCAGGGGGCCTCCCCCGCTCCTTCTGCAGTTAAAAGAGAAAGCACTTTCTTTCTTTGTGACCCCTCTGTCTGGTGATAATATTATGAATAAATGTCATTGTTTTCAGTGAGCTTTAGTTTTGCTGCTTGTGTTTAAAGTCAAAGCATATAGGTTCAGAGCTCCGGGCCACTTTTGTATTAAGTACTGAGCAGTGGGGTTAGAGAAGTGTACACTCCATCAATAACACACAATGGGGGAGAGAGAGGGAGGGAGGGAGGGGAGAGGAAAAATGTGTAGGGCTCTTAACCATCTCAAAGAGAGAATAAGCGGCCTCACTGTTTTGAAGCTCCCATGCCTTCCTGTGTCCTTTTGTGGCTTAAGAAGAATTTTTAAACGGAACTGGTGCATTAATTTTAAAAGGGAACTGGAAAAAGCAACCAGATTTCTGTAACAGTTATTTCAGAAGTGGGGTATATACTCGTTCATTATGTTTAACAAACTGCCAATTTGCTTATGCGGTGCTTTTCCTTTTAAGTCATGCTACCAAAAAATAAATAAAAATCCAGAGATGTCTTCCTTCATCTCAACAACAAATGCACATGCAGAGTGAATAAACAGTTTCTGACAAACATGGGTATGCCAAAAATACACAACTTCCTCGGTGAACCAAAGAACTACCGGTAGTTGACGGGGAGAAACAGCAGGCAAACACCATCATTCATGTAACCTCAAGCCGGAGACTTATTCTGCCCAGATTCATTCTGTAATTCACAGGACAGCAACCTCCAGCCCAGGAGGTTATATACAACACCCCACTTCCTCATACATCTGGGAAGGAGGCAGAAAGAATGTTTCATAGAATCAGGTCATATAACTGTAGAGTTAGAAGGGACCCCAAGAGCCATCTAGGTTCAACCCTCTGCAATGTAGGAAATCTCAACACGGGGTCCCCCATCCAATTTGAAACCTTACTGGACCCTGCTTAGCTTTGCAAAAGTGCTAGCAGTTTTATTTTCCCATGGGTGGATGGGGAGGAGGAAAGAAGGGACATCACACCCACTTTTTGCTTTGGCCCCATCCACCACCCTGGCCACTTTACTCCAAGGGAATGTAGTCGTCTACTCGGAAAGTGTTGCCACCTCTGTTCAAATTACAGTGGTACCTCGGGTTAAGAACTTAATTCGTTCTGGAGGTCCGTTCTTAACCTGAAACTTTTCTTAACCTGAAGCACCACTTTAGCTAACGGGGTCTCCTGCTGCTGTCGTCGCACGATTTCTGTTCTCATCCTGAAGCAAAGTTCTTAACCCGAGGTACTATATCTGGGTTAGCAGAGTCTGCAACCTGAAGCGTCTGTAACCCGAGGTACCACTGTAAATGCACAAGCTAGCAATATACTTAATAACTCAATAACATTACAAATATATATATATATATAAAGTTAAGCACACCAGAGGAAAATCACAGCTAAAATCAACTGTTTTATTCAATCCATCGTGTTCAATGTGCAAATCCAATGCACAAATTGATTTGAGACCAACGGTATATTGGCAGGTCTATCTCTCAGCTATCATAAATCAGAAATAGTCTACGTTCACATTGGTCCCAGAAGTCATCAAGGATCAAGTGGCCATTTGGGCAGTCCCTTGCCATAAGATTATTAAATAACTAGGTGTTTGGATCCCAAATAACCTACACAAATTTCAGGAAAGTAACTTTAACCTTGTGGTGCAGGAAGCCAAATTAGACATTAAAAGTGGTTTCCTGAAATAATGTATCTATCTTTGTGGGAACTCATTGGATCAAACTGATGTCAATGCATCTACTTTCTTATTAATGGGGAAGATGAACAATGGGTGACCATAGAACAGGACAACAGAACATTGGATACATTTCTGCTTCTCTCTTTGACAGGAAAACAATTTGACTTAGTGAAGAATCCTCCTTTAAATTGCACCATGCAAGTCTGGTCTAGATGGCAAATCCCACTGTCTCTTCCACTCACCCCTCTTCTTCCCCTGAGGTCATTCGCTCTTTAACAACAGAGATAGAGCCCAACAACTGTCCACCTGGAGGAAGTGGGGACAATATTGCACAAGAGATTTCTATAACCGTGGGCTACCAGTGACACAGGATTACATTAAAGCAACTTTGCAGAATCCTCAAATCCTTGGGCTACTGTTACAACAGGTTACTCGCTTTTAAAAATATCCTGTTGTTAAATAACAGGAGTGGGGCTCAGTTTGAGGGACTGGGGCCAACTGCCCAGAGTTCCTGGAACGGCCTAGTTTCAAACATATATGATAGCCTATTGAATACCAGGCCTACCAGTCCATCTGGTGTTAGTATAGCCTGGGAATAAGACACTGGTTAAGTGCTGGGAGCCAGAAACTGGAATATATTATGGCAGGGAAATAATTTCCACATTGTATCTGCTGAGAATCAGAAAAAAAGATTTAAAAACACTGCATCACTGGCAATATACCTGGCCTAATACATTTCATGGAGGACAATGGAGGGGTGGAGCTAATGTATTTGGAATTCCCTCACTAAGTGGTGGGGGTTGGGCAAAACCAGCCCCAAGGGGATGCTTTGACATTGAAAACATCTGGTAAATAGATTGTCTTCTTGAGAAGCCACACAACTTGTATTCTGATTACAGGAGAATGTCTTTCAATCGCTTCACAATGGTCTACATAGATCTTATAAGCGGATGAGCACTTTTTCCTGTGTGCAAGGTGGGGGGGGGGTCAATGCTAATTCAATTATAAGTGGAGGGAAAAGACTAATCTCTGAAGGGATACCACAAAATGCCTACTTTCCTTATTAATATGCAAAATCATGAAGGCTGGGCCAGAATTGTTCTGCTTATATATTGTGAGGATTTCAGCATGTGAGAAATATATACACTCACCTGATCTGCACCTGTCAAACTGATGTGCAGATCAGAATGCAGTTATGCACCAGTATTTAGAACACCCCCAATTCCTGCACTGCAGGGGGCTGGACTAGATGACCCTCAGGGTGCCTTCCAATTCTATGATTCTATGAAAAATCCCAACAGGACTCATCGGCAGCATCGGCCAGCACCTCAAGGCGCAGGGTGCAATCCATCCCAGAGCCTAGCGGAGTGGGGCCTTCTGCTGCTGCTGTCTTGCATCTAGTAAATAACTAAGTGTCTACTCAGAAGAAAGCCACACTGAGTTCAGTGGGCCTTACTCCCATGCAAGGGTATGTGGGACTGTAGTGTTTTATCTAGGCAGCCAGGGCTTCTCTGGATGGCAAGATCTTTTTGCTTTTTTGCCCATATATACAGAACTCCCTGTGCAACTTTTGGACTGTATCTGTAGGTTTCCCCCTCTGTGTCAAATAAATGGGGTCAAATAAGTGTTGTTTACTTTTTATAATACATGGAAGATGGATCTCCCTTGGGAGGTTGTGGACTCTCCTTCCATGGAGGTTTCTAAGCAGAGGTTGGATGGTCAACTGTCAGATGCTTTAGCTGAGTCTCCTACATTGCAGGGGGTTGCACTAGAAAGATGGCCTTTGTACCAGTAGGATGGGTGGGTGGGGGGCGGCACAGGAAGAAAACAAGGTTGGAAGGGGGCCACGTTCGGAAAAAGGTTGAGAAACACTGATTTAGGGAATGCAGGGCATAGCTCTGGCCTCCAGCACCCCGGGATCTTCTGCCTGAGGTGGCTGTCTCACTCCCCTTAACGATATGGCTGGCCACATCTCTACTCATAAATGTAGCTAATCAGAATGGTCAGATTATGGGCTTAAAAGTAACATTTGAATCTTAGTGTGTCATGAAGCCGCTTTCAATCATTCCCACCCCACGCCCGCCAGTGAAAATTGTGACACTAAGTAGCTGGAAATGGAAATGGCTTCCAAATCCAGCCATCCTCCAACAGTAATGGGACCCTGTCCTATGCGGAAACCTCTAAGGTTGTTGGTTCCCCTATGATTTGCTTTCTTGCTCTCTGGTGCCATCTGTTGGCTGAGAGTAGCCCATCATTACTGGAAAATGTTAAGAAAAAAAATCAAGCTGCATGCAGTTTCTCTAGCACTGACTCTAACATAAATAAAGACCTCCCTATTTCCACCCCACCCCCCAGAAGAGCAGTGTATACTTTTGCAAGATGGAAGTGCAAGAACTAATAAAATATATGGTTTAATTAACTAAACTTATGCTGCAGTATACACTAGAAGTAAGTGATTTACTGAGCGTTATCCTCTTCAGGACAGAATAATGTAAACAGCATAATTAAAAGTTGATGAGAAGTATATTTATTGAGCGCAAAGGATGAACAGACACTTAGATTTATGGTACACAAAGTGTACCTTTAGTTTACAATATTATTAACGTTTTAAAGTCCAAAGCCTGCGCGTAATGAATTCAAAGTGCTTTGTTCCATGTAGAGATTATTTCAGCAGTGCTAATACCTCACACTTTGGATAGTAAATTACATCTCCGGTCATATCCTAATGCAATATGATCTATTATGATCAAGTGATTACATTCATTGAGACATCTATGGCTACAATATATCAAGTTGTCTATAAAGTCACATGGAATAGATGAAGAACCATTTATTCATTTGTGACGTGGGTTTCAGAGCTATTCATCATGGACTGTACCACAAAATGAATACCCACTGTTTAATTTTAATTAATCTGTAGATTCATCTTAGTTAACTCTAAAGTCTTTTAAAAAACAGCCAAAAGGATAGTGTGCACAGTACCTTTGTGTTTAATGCTTGGGATCACATATTATATTATGCAGATAAGTATGATACTTGGGAAGCAAATGTGTAAACCAGCACACTTATACACACAGAAACAAACTCTGGTTAAGTTTTGTTGTTGCTGTTGCTGCTGCTTAGATAGCCAGTAAGAACAACATTATCATTTACTTCTCTGAGATGGACCATCTGGTATGGGGAGCTAAGCCCAAAATGGTGGGTAAGTTTTCAGGGATCATTATGAAAGGGCTGAGAAGTAACTCAGTTCTGAGAATCAGTCCTATTTAAGCTAGGGCTAGTCATGTGACCGGTATAGGAAATGTTGCCCTCTCTGTATGGGCTTCATTTGTCCTCAGTGACATCAGGACATTGCTAAATCTGATTGGCTATATGACACTGTGGTGTCATCATGTTCAGAATGTGATCCTGATCAGTCAGAACTTTCCACTACTTTCTTTCCACTACACATAATTTTACTCGCCTCTGTTATGTCCCCACTTTGCCCCCAAACTAAAAAGGCTAAAATACTGCTACCTTTCCTCAGAATATAGTTGTTCCACTATTCTGATTATTTCAGTTGCTCCTTTCTGCACCTTTACCAACTCCACAACATTCATTTTTAAGGTGAGGTGATCAGAATGGTACATAATATTCTAAATGTGGTTGCACCACAGATGTGTTTAGTGGCATTATTATATGGGCAGTTGTAATATGGAATTTGCCTTTTTTCACAGCTGCTGCACAATGGTTCCAACGTTATCCACTGTGACTCCCAAGATCGCATTCCTCATCATTCACTGTAGGCCTGGGTGATATATTGAGGGCCAGAGTGCAATGGCGCCTTCACCTGGCAGTATACTGTGGGTAAAATCGCCATCACTTCTAAGTGATCACGCCATCACTCCGCGCAGAGGTGGGAACAACAACAACAACAAGTTATTATTTACACCCTGCCCATCTGGCTGAGTTTCCCCAGCTACTCTGGACGGCTCCCAATTGAGTGTTACAAACAGTACAGCATTAAATATTAAAAATTTCCCTAAAAAGGGCTGCCTTCAGATGTCTTTAAAAAATAGGATAGCTGCTTATTTCCTTGACATCTGATGGGAGGGCGTTCCACAGGGTGGGTGCCACTACTGAGAAGGCCCTCTGTCTGGTTCCCTGTAACCTCACTTCTCACAATGAGGGAACCGCTAGAAGGCCCTCAGCACTGGATCTCAGTGTCCGGGCTGAACAATGGGGGCGGGGTGGAGACGGGACCAAGGCCGTTTACAAGCTGCAGCGACCCCAGCCCTGGCAAAGGGCTGGGGTGAAATTGTCACCACTCCCGCTGAGGGTGCAAGGGACACTAGTTACACTTCATGCCTCTGCAAACCAGATCTGGTTTCAAGGGAGTCAGGAATAATGACATAATAGAGTGAAATTTTATGTGTATGTTCAGAACACTACTCTACACTTGAAGGCCAGCTTCAACCCCACAACTATTTTTAAGGATGGGAGAAGGTACAAGTAGTTTGTAAGGGAACATCTCAAGTGCGGAATCCCCTCCAATGTTGTGCTTTGCCTTTATTTGTGATGGCCACACCATTCTTCTCCCAAGACAAAATTTCAGTCCATATGAGTGTGGGGGTTTTCACCTGTTCTCGTGATTATTCTTTTGTGGCTTAGATGAATCAGGAATGTGCAAAATAAAGGAGAAAGGGCCTAACTCAACGGGACGTTCTCCTCTGGAAGCTCCAACGAAATGTACAAGGAGGACTGCACAGTAGTTTGTGCACAAAGTGGGAAAATAAAATATGAGCGCCTATTCATTACCCGGTTCATTACACTTTTTAGTGCTTATTAAATCATTGTTAAATGATTTAATTTGTATTTGAAAAAGTGGAGGGTAGAGATTAAAGGGATAAAACGCTGAGCTTTCTGTTTAGGAACTGGCTACAGACTACATGTTAAAGTCTTGAAAATTAATTTGTCTGTCTCTTGTAGGGGTTAGCATCCATCAGAATCCACATTACACAGTTTGGCTTATTTTTGCTTAATTGGAAAGGCTTTCTCTGGGGAGGACCAGGTCTAGGCAATGGGTAAAATAAATCAACTAATCTACCAGTTCATTCAGGTTAAGATTCATCTTTCTTTTTCTTTTCTCTTACAACAGAAGAACAATAACAAGATTAGAGAAATTAATGCAGCACCTAACCACATAACATCAAAATATTGAGATTAGTATTATATTACACATGCATATTAATAAGATACAACACACACACACACACACACACACACACAGGTATACATGTGCATGCAGATAACTGTTAGGCTCCATAGTCTGCCCTCTATTAAGACAGAAGCCGGGATTCTTATAATACGTGATCCAACATAATAATGGACTTATTATGTTATGTTGGTAGTATATTATGGGATGGGGAAGCTTATGTTAGCACATAAGCATGAAACAAAACAAGGCAAACATTTTCAGATTTCAGTTGTGCACATCCATTGCTTAATGCTACGTTGTTCTTTACATCTATAGTAGTCCAGATGTTGATTGAATCCAACTCCCATCAGCCCCATCTAGCATGGCCAACAGTCAGGCATTATGGAAGTTGGGCTCCAGCAACATCTGCAGGGCCACAGGATCCCTGTCCTTGACATAACTGTTAGGCACATTTTCATCAGGTGCAATGGGATTTGAACCAAGAACTTGGCTGGTTGGGCACCAGTTCCCTACTTCTCACATCGGTGGAGTCACCAGTCAGAGAAGATAGTTTCAGGCAGCTGAAACCAAGCTGCTAAAAATGAAGGCGAGAATACTCCTCATACTAGGTGATTTTCCCAGAGAACAAATCCCAAGCCACTGCCTCCTATGGAACCCCGCTGTTGGGGAATAATGAGTCTGATCACCGAGGAAGGCCATTCTCCACACCCTTTCCTGGCCTGCTCCTCCTCTTGCTCCTGGTACCACTTCTACAGTCAAGGAGCTGAAGAGCTAATGTAGCCTTTGGCTAGGCTCAGACCAGACTATGGCACCTGACAAAAGAGAATACATCTATTTTTGCAATATATTTCTTCTTGCTAACTGGAAACCAGTGTCTTCATTTTGCTTTTACTGTTTTATTTTTTGCTTTCTAATTATAGGTTCTAGAGAAGCCACCTCCAGTCCCAAAGGGTAGAATCATAAGCGGTGGCACACTAACTTGCAATAAAGTCCCATTGAAATAAATGGAAGTTATTTCCATGCAAATATGTAGAGTCTGTAAAATACAAAGAAGAGTCAAAGCAATATTTATATGTTTGCTCTTTGTCTTTTTTTTTTTTTTTTGTAAGAACCATCTCTGTGTTTAGCAGCAGGATATAAAAAATAACAATATGTATATGTACACCACTCTGAGCTTCTTGAACCAAGGGTAAAATTAGATCAATTGATCGATCAATAGATAGAGAGACTCACCAGTGTGGCTAGTTGGATGTGTCAATCTTGCAAGTAACTCAAGATACTATAGGAGATAATTAAAGAACAAGAGAGATATTATTAGGGCAATGCGATGGAGTCAGATTCTTACAGTCTATTCAGATCATGTAGTCAAAAGTAATCACAGCTGAAGAGAGGTCTAGACAGTAAAAAAAAGGGGGGGCACACATTATTCCCAAGCCAAAGGATGCAATGGTTCACTGATTATCCAGATTAGATCCAGGTAGTTTGGCATTTCCACTGATAGATATAAGGTTTACTGGTCTGCTACTACTGGAGTTTGCCACATGGCACAAATATCCTCTTGCAGTATTAGTACTGAGGGGGCAATCTATGAATTGAACCATACAGAACAATTCCAGCAAAGAACAGTTCTCAAATAAGATTACTTATGCAGGTAATCATCTAACATGAAGCAACTGAAATCTGCATCCTTTTAAGACTCAATGAGTTCTTTCAGCTTTCTAGGGAGCACTTGGTAATCTGCAGAATTTTTTTAGTAGTTTTCATTCTAGATTTTGGATACTGTTCTCTAGACTAGAATAACACTAAGCAACGTATCACACAGCTTCAAACCCCAAGAAGCATACATATGAAGGTAGCTATAGAATGATTGAGTCACCTTCAGCCTTTGTTTTAAAAGCAACAGGATTGCAAGAAACATTTGGAATTATGTCCACAAGAAGAGCCAGAGGCTCATCCCATCCACTGCAGCTTTGGACAGCACTGTACTCCACCAGAAGTAATAGACTTGTAGTTTGGGAGTTTTTTTTCTGGATATAGCTTTGCTCCTGGATAAGCAGGTTGTTGTGGTGGTGGCCAAGAGCATCTGATGTCCCAACCACAATCTTTTACAGACAGAGCTGATCTTGCCAGAGTTGTACATACCCTGGCCACTTCAAAATAAGATTACTGCAATGGCTCTATGTGGGGCTGTCCTTGAAATCATGTCCAGGAGCTTCAGCAGGTGCAGGATGCAGTGACAAAGCTACTGACAGGAACCAGACCATGTAACAAGTTTTATCTCAATTGCACTGGCTCCTGGTTCCAGTTCAAAATGATGGTTATCACATTTGAAGCCCTAACAGTTTGGGACTAAGTGATCTGAAGGACCCTTTCCTTCTGCACATAGGAACACAGAAAGCTGCCTTATCAGAGCAATGGTCCATCTAGCAGAGTATTTTCTACACTGACTGGCAGTGGCTCAAAAGGATTTCAGGCAGGAGTCTCTACCTGGAAATGCTGAAGACTGAACCTAATACCTTCAGCATGGAAAGCAGGTGTTGTACTACTGAGCTACAGACCTTTCTCTTCCTGTACACTGTGATAATCAGAAGTGGCCCTGCTGCTTGCGAAGATGTGCAGGATAGGGGCACAGGACCAGACCTTCTCTACAGCAGTACATAGGAAATGGAATTCATTGCTCCAGGAACTTTGGCAGGCCTTGGGGATTAATATGACAGCCAAAAATGGGAACTTATTTAAAGATAATTATGAAAAATGTTGGACGGAAGTGAAAAAAGATTTAGAAATTTGGTCAAATTTGAAGCTTTCACTGCTGGGCCGTATTGCTGCGATAAAAATGAATGTATTGCCTAGAATGTTGTTTTTGTTTCAGACATTGCAAATTGTGGACAAGATGGATTGTTTCAAGAAGTGGCAGAGAGATATTTCTAGATTGTCTGGCAGGGCAAGAAGCCCAGAATAAAATTTAAGATATTAACTGACGCAAAGGAAAGAGGTGGATTTGCCCTGCCAGACTTTAAACTTTATTATGAATCAGCAGCCTTTTGCTGGTTGAAAGAATGGCTACTTCTGGAAAACACAGACATTTTGGATTTAGAAGGTTTTAACAACGTATTTGGATGGCATGCATATTTATGGTATGATAAGGTCAAAGCACATAAAGCATTTAAAAATCATATTGTCAGGAAAGCACTGTTTAATGTTTGGATAAGATATAAGGATTTATTGGAAAATAAAACCCCAAGGTGGTTGTCACCGATGGAAGCGAAAGCTCTGAAAAGGCTCAATATGGAGGCCAAATGGCCGAAATATTGGGAAATTTTGGAACAAGAAGGAGACAAATTGAAATTGCAGAGTTTCGAGAAACTAAAAACAAAGTGAGAGATTGGCTTCACTATTATCAGATAATGGAGGCATATAATTTGGATAAGAAAATTGGCTTCCAGGTGGAAAAATCAAAACTAGAAACAGAACTGTTAGAACCCAAAACTAAGAATTTGTCAAGAATGTATAACTTGCTGTTGAAATGGAATACTCAGGATGAAACGGTGAAATCTGCTATGATTAAATGGGCACAAGATGTTGGACATAACATAATGTTTGCTGACTGGGAACAGTTATGGACCACAGGTATGAAGTTTACGGCATGTAATGCCCTAAGAGAGAATATTATGAAAATGATATACAGGTGGTACATGACCCCAGTCAAGCTTGCAAAAATCTATCATTTGCCCGATAACAAATGTTGGAAATGTAAAGAAACTGAAGGTATATTCTTTCACCTTTGGTGGACGTGCCCAAGGATTAAGGCTTTCTGGGAAATGATATATAATGAACTGAAAAAGGTATTTAAATATACCTTCTTGAAGAAACCAGAGGCCTTTCTTCTGGGCATTGTCGGCCAATTGGTGCCAAAGAAGGACAGAATTTTTTTATGTATGCTACAACAGCAGCAAGAATACTCATTGCAAAGTATTGGAAGACACAAGATCTACCCACTTTGGAAGAATGGCAGATGAAGGTGATGGACTATATGGAATTGGCAGAAATGACTGGCAGAATCCGAGACCAGGGAGAAGAGTCGGTGGAAGAAGATTGGAAGAAATTTGAAGACTATTTACAGAAATATTGTAAAATTAATGAATGATAGAATGATGTTGGATAGTAATTTAGCGGTTTCTAGCTGTAATGCTTTAAGAGAATATGAAAAAAGGGTTATAAATGGGTTAAAATCTAATGGTAAGGATTTGCTGAACCAATAAATTGAAGTGGAATACAAAAAAGGGAGGTACGAGGAGGTCCGGGAAATAAGCTTAAGGAAAATAAGTAACGGAAAATATGTGTGTTTTTAACTGTTTTTATTTTGTATTTTTCTTTTTTCTTTTTCATTTTTGTTGTAATATTTCAAAAAACCTTAATAAATATCTTACAAAAAAAAAGGAACTTTGGCAGGCCTTCCTCGCTGTGTGGATATAGGTGACAAGTGAAAACAGCTTTGTTTAGGCACACATTTTCTCTCTAATGCACTTTCTCGTTTTTGAAGGTTGTCGTCATCTGTGGCTGCTGCCATGTGTGCTGCAGTGGAATTAGTTTTGTGCTTCATTTGATACTGTTCATTTTACTCTTAACGTGATTTGGTGTTTTCATATGCTCTGTTGGCTACTCTTGAGAGCCCTTTCTAGGGCTGATGATGCAGGCTATCCATGATCACATAAACAGATAAATAACATTCTATAAAAAAGGACTAAGTGCTTCCTTTCCAACTTCTGGGATAGTTTCAGAGAACAGCAAAAGTAGGTGCAGGGTTCATGTGGTTAAACTGGATCTACACATTCCTTGTTTCCCACATAGAAGTAACCATGCATTTGCCATTCAGGGCCCTGGCAGTAACTGTGCTGCAAGGACTGGGCCTACGTATGAATTGGGCCCCAGGGAATGATGCTTGCAAACTCATTTGGGACAAGAAATAAAATACAAGGCATATTTAACATAAATCTGTTGGATTTATTTTTTGTCTCAGGCAACAGATAACACACAGAAAAGCAAGAAATTAAAAGTGCAACCATCAACAATTAATGACACAATATCCACCAGGAAGAATATAAGCATCGCCCCCCGTCTCATGGACAACTGTACTCCAGCCACTTTCCTCCAAGTAAGGCAAAGGGCTCTCAGTCCTTTCTCCCTAAACAGCAGGAGACAATGGCAGTGTGTCTCAGCTGTTCATACCCACGGACAAGTGGAACGGAAGTGAACAGCTAAACTTCATCATAAGAGGAGGGCTCTGCTAAATCCTTTGCTGTGTTCATAGTGACAAAGAGGGATTCAGGAGCCTTTTGCCTCTGCCATACTTCATATGGGAGTGTGTCCATAGGTACAGCCTTATTTTGCTGGCCCTTTGGCTCCTGCCCTGTCACAGATATGACACCTAGTAAAATAAGTTGCTGACTAGGGACTGAAAACAATCTCACCGCCTCACATGAAGGTCCCCTACATAACCTACCTCGGTCTGGTTTAGGAAACCTATATTTTCAAATCAATGTTTCCTTTCACTGTATTATTAAGGGCACCTTGGGAAGCCTTTGGGAAAAGGGGCAAGTGCGCTCCCCTTTGTTTTCTCCAAGCAAGCTCTTCCAGCTCTACTCTTAACAGATGGTAGCCTACCAGAATTTCCCCCCTTTCCTGCCTGTGATGTTAAGTATGATTTACAGGCCTGAGTTATTATTTATCATTATTCATTTCCTGTCACCAGTGCATTGAAGGTTAATAGAAATGCCAGCATGCTCACTGATTTACTTAGTAAAATATTTGTTCCAAGGTTTTAGGTCAGATGATTGGTGTCTGAGAGAGCTTCAGGTTTATGCATTATGAAAAGCAAGCTGACTTGACCTTGAGCCACCAATACTGGCACTATATATTACTTTAGCAGAGTGACCTTCAGAGACCCAAGACACTCGAGATGTATTCAACACATGCTTTTTCCATCCATATTGCTGCCAGCATTGTATACATAAGCAGCTTAACTTATGCCATGAAAGCCAATACTGGCTTTCCCACCTAATGAATCTGAGCAGGGTGATTTAAAATAAAAAATAAAAAAATACAGCGATCTTGTTTCTGGGTCTACAAACCGTCTTAGAATTCTAGAACCCCCACATGCACTGAACTTCAGCAAATGCTTTAGACTAATTGAGACTCATTTATCAAGTAAGAATGATCTATGTAGCAGATTGGGAGAGGAGGGGTCTTACTCAAAAACTCACTTTGCACAGCTGTAAATCATATCTAATGTCAATGGGGAAAGTAAGAGGACAACTGAGGATGTAAGTTTATCTTTGAAGAAAGCTTCTCACCTCAACTGGGTGTTCAAAGCTAAAATTTCCACTACCTATTTATCACTGTAACTCTTAACAACTGCCGCCAATCTCTTGGAGGCAAATATGCAGGCAGCCCACTAAGTGATGCACCTCACCAAAAGAAGTTACCCAAATTATTATTTTTATTTATTTATACAAGCAATTGTATACCACTTTTCATCAAGGAAAATGATCACCAAAGGGTTTCCAAAAACCCGACAATAATAAACAATGTCAATATAAATGATACATTTTGAACAGGTGCAATAGAAATTATGAAATACAATAAAACACCAAATAATGTAAGAATACCATAAAACCTACAGAATAGGGCAGCATCAAAGCTTTAAAATCCATAAATAACAGCCAAATAGATCTACCATAGGTCTATGTGGATAAAAACATATTTAGGTAGTGACAAAGGCTCAACCATGCCACAAGGGGGAGTTCCATTAAATGGGGTGCCACCACTGAGAAGGCCCTATCTTGGGTTCTCATACAGTGATAAACATTTGCTGGGAGTGCTGATATAATAGCCCAGACAGGTTGGTATTTGCAGATGTGTTCTCTCAGATATTCAGGTCCCAGGTGATTCAGGCTTTATACATCACCATAAGAACATTAACTTGGGACTGGTAATATATGGGCAGGTAATGCAGATTCCACAAAACTAGTGTTATGTGACTATTCATTGAGGTGTCAGTATTCAGCACTAGCTGCAGTTTACTGTTTTCAAGGGCAGCCCCATACAGAGTGTATTACAGTCGTTCTGATGTAATGGACATACAGAATTGGAAGACATCAGCATACTGATGAGACCAAGCTCCACACCCCAAACTTTATGATGACTGCACCCAGCAGCTTCACTAGGGGCAAGATGGAACCCTGCAACCCAATCGGCACTGGGCTGCGGAGAAATCAACTAGTGCTACTCTCTGGAAATATCTCTGCATAAAAAAGGAAGAAACTTTGTGGCTCCTACCACCATTTCACAATGGGCAGCCCCAGAAGACTGTCTTTGTTGAGAACCTCTCTCAAGTCACCATGTCAGCAGAGCAGGCCAGCACCTTGTTTGAACAGAGAGTATATCCTAGAACACGACCCCAGAATCCTGTGCAAGCCATAGAGTTCTGTGGTAGACAATGAGGCGGTCAACTTGACATACATGGGGGTGGGCAGAGAGGGAACATTTGGGAACATGTACATATATAGATTGCTGTGAAAAAGTGCATGTTCCAGTCTGGATGAGAAAATCTGCCTGTATACTCCTAAAAATGAAGGCCCTGGCCGATTTAGAATCATAACAATGTGATCCCAGACAAAGTTTCCCATCCTGTGCTTAAGAACTCTGAGACAAAGAGAAGTCTTTCTCAAAGACTGTTCTGATTTTCCCTGTCACATTGCTGTGGCGAGGTGAGAAGCCTCACTCGCCAATCTTCTCCCACCTCTCTCCTTTCAAAGCTTTTAACACAGAGTGTCCCACTCAGTCTGTGGCCTGGCAATCTGAATGTATTGCCTGCATACCTGTATGACTGTGGCCATGTTTCTTTGCTATTCTGAGCTTCTCAGGAACCCATCACCAATAAATATAAGAAAGCTATCTACATGAGTGTTGTGTACTCATGTGTTGTGATATTAAACAGGCCAGATGCAGCTAAAGGTAAAGGTAAAGGAACCCCTGACTATTAGGTCCAGTTGTGGCCGACTCTGGGGTTGCGGCGCTCATCTCGCTTTATTGGCTGAGGGAGCCGGCATACAGCTTCCGGATCATGTGGCCAGCATGACTAAGCCGCTTCTGGCAAACCAGAGCAGCGCACAGAAACGCCGTTTACTTTCCCACTGGGGCGGTACCTATTTATCTACTTGCACTTTGACGTGCTTTCGAACTGCTAGGTTGGCAGGAGCAGGGACCGAGCAATGGGAACTCATCCCGTTGCGGGGATTCGAACCGCTGACCTTCTGATCGGCGAGTCCTAGGCTCTGTGGTTTAACCCACAGCGCCACCCGCGTCCCTAGCACCCTACAAAAAAACAACAGCAACAACAAGTGCCCTTAGATGATGTTGTGCACTCCCAGCTGCCTCAAAGGACACATTCAGCATGTCCAATTGAGACTGCATGATGTGGATCGACACAGAGATGTGCAGCCCGTATCTGTATCCACTGCAGGAGTGGAAGCCAACTTCTATGCATGGAATCCCCCCCCCCCAAAAAAAAAAACACACACACTCTTGCTGGATTAAGGCAATAAAACACAGCAGAATGAATGCACACCTTGCTTGCAAGATTAAAATATTCATTTGGTTATTCAAATTCAACTGTCATAAATCTGTGAAATCAACCAAATTTGAAAGTACCTGCAGCTCTTGCCTCGGGCTTTAACACTAATGCTAAAAAAGCTCGAACGAGTCCTGAATCACATGAATAGCTGGGATGGCTAGGAAATAACCAGTTTAACTGCATAGGGCCTGCAATGAGGCATTGATGAATTAGGAAGTTCCCAATCAATCAAATAACCCAAACACGTACGTGTGTGTGTGTAAAAGAGTTAACAGACCAGTAACATCCTAGTGACAACTGCAACAATAATAGAATCATAGTTAGAAGCAACCTTGAGGGTAATCTAGTCTAGCCTCCTGCAATGCAGGAATCTTTTGCCCAACGTGGGGCTCAAACCCATGACCCTGAGATTAAGAGTCTCTTGCTCTACTGACTAAGCTACAACAACTTAAGGGTGCTTGTTCCAAGACTATGGTAACTTCAATTGAGGAACTCCCCACCCAAATCACTCCAGCATCTCAAGGCTTCCATAAGGGCAAAGGAGATCAGAATCTACTTGAAAATGTGATTTGCAGAGCCCTTTAATTTTTCAGAAACAATACGATTTACTCCTTCAAAAGGGTTAAAAAAAATTCTGTCTCCAATTAAGGTAAAAGCACCTGCTCACTTATTCTCCTCCCCTTCATCCTTATACACAAGCCTTCCTGGAGAGATGAGATTTATTCACCCGGATTTGACAGCCTTTTCTTATTTATTTATACTAAGAGATAAATCAAACCTAGGCCACTCTGTCCAAGAATAAGTTATTCATTATCTGCCTAGTAAGTATGTTCGCGGATCAGATGTGGTAAAGGTATGTCGGTTAGAAAGTGCATTGTTCAGGCATGATTTACAACCACAGAAGTTATGACTTTTCATTGGTGATTACTCACTATGTTCTTATTGTTTTTTATGTATTTGATCACAACTGACTTTGGGGTTTTGTTAAATGGAGAGGGAGAGAGAAAGGAAGAATACTAGATGGTAATTGTTGGATGATGAAATGAAGAAGGAAACTCATATTTTTCTATGCAGGAGGAACAAATGCGGTCATTTGGAATCTGTCAAGGAAGAGGTGTTGTCTTCAGATATCTACGAAAAATTGCTGAGAGGTAGGTTGGGGAGTGTGTAGAATTACAATATTCTACTGAAAATAATTTGAAATAAAATAGCAAACGTGATTTTTGGATTTTTTTTTAAAGTAAGCCTAAGGTGATTTCCCCAAAATTAGGATGGATCTGGAGAAAGCACCCCAAAGGGAGAACAGGGCACCCAAGCCTTTTAAATGATACATATACCACAAACCCCGAATCACAGCGTGATCAAGTATAAATAATCTTAAGCCCCACAAGTCTCAGTTGCCTAAGTAAGCCCTGAAAAATGGTGCCAACCATCCACAGCACTGAAGAAACACGAAAAACTCAATCAACAGGCTCAGGAGAAGACTCTGGGTCTCCTCAGGGCTCACCCTTCTCTCAAAAGCAATGTAGGTGTTGGTGCCCTGAAGCTCACTAAATCTAAAACCAGTGAAGAGCCCAGCAGTGCAGTCCTACATATGTCTATTCAGAGGTGAGATCTGCTGAGTTTAATGGGACTCACTCTCAGGTAAAAGTATTTCCCAATACAGAAGGGCCACCAACCTGTTACCCATGAGTGCTGGGTTGGTGATCCTTGTGGTTCCCCTGCTTATAATCCAAGAGTGGTACAGTGCTTTGAGGGTGTATAAATTTTGTGAAATAAATAACAGCGCCAGAAGGATTTTTACATGATTTTGCTATGCATGCACACATATTTTACTTGTATGCCGCCTTTCCATAATTCAAGCCGTGTGCAAGGTGGCTTACAACATGGGGTAAAAATATATGTAGCTTCAACATAACGAAAGTAGCTGTAAATAAATAAAACATTAAAAAATACACAACCAAACTGAACAAAATCCACATACCGTATTTTTCGCCCTATAGGACGCACTTTTCCCCCTCCAAAAATGAAGGGGAAATCTGTGTGCGTCCTATGGGGCGAATCCAGGCTTTCGCTGAAGCTTGGAGAGCGAGAGGGGTCGGTGTGCACCAACCCCTCTTGCTCTCCAGGCTTCAGGAAGCTATCAGCAAGCCTGGGGAGCCCGCGGGAGTTCCCGCAGGGCTCCCTAGGCTGCAGATAGCAGCCTGCTGCCCGGAGCGCGGGGCGCACTGAAGCAGAGTGCCCTGCGCTTCAGGCAGATATCCTTTTCTCCTCTAAAAACTACGGTAGGTGCGTTTTTAAAAGCTCGGGCTTCCCCCGCGGCTGGGGGGGGGATAAAAAATTTTTTCTTTATTTCCCCCCCAAAAAACTAGGTGCGTCCTATGGGCCGGTGCGTCCTATAGGGCGAAAAATACGGTAAATCACAAGATCTAAAATGAAGATTGAAAAACCCAAAGCAACAACCCCCAGCAAACAACACTGCAGCCCAGGAGTCTGTTCAGCAGCCTCAGCTGTTGTAGCTGCAGTCAGTCAGGGTCCCAGCCTCCCAAGCCAGGTGAATAAAGACCTGCAAGGCAGGGAGTAGGTCTTCCAGGCCTCATAGTGAAGCACTGGCAGGAATCACAAGCAGGGATGGTGCTGTCATGTCATGTTCATGTCCCAGAGGTACCCAATTTGCTAAAAATATTAATTATTCTCATCGACAATAAAGCGGCTTCTAGGTCAACACACCCAGCAAAAATTGCCTTTCCATTTATTCTTCACCAGCACTCATCATCACATATCCCTTCAGTGACTAGACAAACTTCCATTCCTTATAGAAACAAATAGCTTTTATCACTACACGGGGAGATAAGCAAAATTTGGCTAATTGTTCCAAACTGACATTGAATTTGTATGCCGCGTTTCAGTTCCACTTAGGCTGGCTGGCTTGCCAGGTATTCACAGCAATTTCAGCCACTAAAGTAACATTAAAATGTGCAGAGTTTGCAAGAAGAAAAAGCAAGTAAATTGGGGGAATATATAGACAGCAAAACAGAATTTTTAAGCTCTCCTATTTACTAAATCCATAATATGTGACAGCTGCTGTGAAGCTAAATGCATGTCGGACTGATTGTAGGAGACACTCCTTGGCAGATAAAACAATATTCCCATCTCTAATAAAGGCAGTGAGAGAAGCAGTCTAAATTGGTCTAGGCTTGTTACTGCTGCAATCCGCCCCCCCCCCACGCCCCCCGCTCCCCGACACACACACACCAACCTCCTCTATCCTGTTGTTAACTTACTATATCCCTGGAAGTGAAACTTAAAAGCCGCTACGCTAAGTTGTGCACAAATACTCAAAAGAAGTTGGTTCTGGCCTATGAAAGGTGCCCTAAAACTTTTCTGCAACAGATCCAACACAGCTTACCCTCTGGAATAAATTTTCAAAAGAGAAACTCCCAGGACATGCCAAATTTGATCCACTATATAGAGAACTTTTTAAAAAACAACCCAAGACTCCCCCAAAGCATATCCAGTACCAGGGCTGCCTTTTAAACAGTATTTCATCTGGTACAAAATGCAGTGGTCATATTACAGGGTGAGGTTCAATTTAGAACTGATATAATTTATGTTTTTAAACAGCAGTGCTGGTTGCCAGTTTGTGGGACTCATTCCAGGTGTCCTTGGTAAGGCATTAGTGTTTCACGCCCTAAATGACTGAGGACCTAGATAAATGAAAGACTACCTCCTTCCCTTCAGACCCTCTCAGGTGTTAAGCAGAGGGGTTCTTCTTGGTAATTCCACTTCCATCTGAGAATTGGTCTCATTTACCCATTTCCTCCCAAGGTAAAGGGAAGTGACCAAGCTAAGCCTGGCAGGAGAGCTTACTCCACAGGTCCTCAAACTTTTAAAACTGGAGGCTGGTTCACTGTCCCTCAGACACTGTTGGGGGCCAATTGAACCAATTCCTACGCAACCCAGCGCAGAGTTTCATTGGCAGAGCCGCTGCTGCTTGAGGAGCTTGTTCCCATTCAGAGCCGCAGTCAGTCCCCACTTGCTGAGGTAAACCCAGCGTGGTGTTTCTGTTGAAAAGAATGCTCACCCGCACTCTTTTCAATGGAAACTCCTTGCTGTGCCAGATTTACATCAGCCGCGGAAGCCTCGCTGCCCACTCAGTCAGTCCCCGCACACTGAGGTAAACCTGGCATGGTGTTTCAGCTGGTGAGCCAGATTTACAAGCCTAGCGGGCCAGATCTGGCCTGGGGGCCGTAGTTTGAGGACCCCTGGCTTACTCTATAGCATTAACGCAGGGGTCGGCAACCTAAGGCCCATGGGCCACAAACAGCCTACGGGGGTCATTTAACTGGCCCACGAGCCACCCCTGAACCTAGCTACCCACTTGGCGAGTCCCTACACGCTGTGCTAAACCGGCGCAGTGCGGGGCAAGGACTCACTTCCGCGGCACTGGAAATCGCGTCTGTGCAAACGTCGGAAATTGCGGGCGCACGATCTCCACTGGAGTGAACCGGTCCAGGCAAGGTAAACCTTGCCAACCCCTGCATTAACCCTTTCATACATTAATTAAACTTAAGCACATTGGTTGTATGAAGCTGGTTATTCTACAGCCCTGGATCAAACAAACTCAAAAAGCTCTCCTGCAGCAGGAAGAAAAGGAAGGCTCATAGCTCAGTGATAGAGCATGTTTAATCCCCAGCATCTCCAGGTAGGACTGGGAGAGAACTTTGTCCGAAATCCTGGAGAGCAGCTGCCATTCAGTGCAAACAATGCTGAGCTACTTGGACCAACTGTCTGACTCATTATAAGGCATCTTTCTATGTTCCTATGGGGGGGGGGTGTCAAGGAAATCACAAGACCGAGACTTATGAGGACCCTACATTCCAGCCATTCTAGAAAATAACTAGAGAACATTCTTCCATGGATTACCAAAATTAGAATCCTCTCCAGAAATTCTAGTCCAGCCTAATCGACAACAAGGAGCACCTGCCTTCTGATGGTCATAGAGGCTACAATAAATTCCTTTGACTCCTGGCATTATGCCTTCATACGTTCACATTGCCCAGAAGTACTGTACCCAGAGGCAGGGGGCTAAACTGACCTACAATGGCTATCCAGGAAAGAGAATGCTTAAATGTGATGGTGTCATGCTGTATCTGTAGAAAGTAAGCATGCTTTCTCTTTTTTAAAATATGAACTAGGAATATGGTGTTTTCAGCATATCCATATAAGTGGGCCTCAAAGCCTCCACTCTTCAGAGCCTGTGCTTTATTTGCAAAAGAATTCCTACTCTTCAAACCACCTGACAGAGCAATGGTCTGTATTATAAAAATAAAAATATGGAAACACTTTGCTCCTTTGCAAGCTTGATTAAAGCAGTTGTGCCTCTTGCTGCAGCCAGAGACAAGGCGCAGACACGGCAGACATGGTTTTGCATTTGAAAATATGGTCATTTTAAGCGTTTAAAGCATTCGCCCGTTTGGCCAAATGATCCTGCCTCCTCTGCAACCATCTACTGTAATTATCAGTCATGGCAGTGACACCTCCTGCTACAGAGAGGGGCTGATCAGGTTACAGGATCTTTCTCTGCTTCAGAACCCAACAGCCAAAACAGAGTGCAATGCCAGCAGATGTTTCCAGTTTGAAAACAGTGGGAACTTCATGAACTGTTTCCCCCAACCTCCCAGGAGTAAATGCCACCATGGCTGTGAAACTGGAAACATTTGTCAGGCTCTAGGAAGCAAAAGGTTGTGAAAGAACGCTGCAGTAATTTGCTGCTTCCACAATGCTTTATTGATTGATTAAAATAAAAAAAAAGCCAACACCAGCTATATCCATACAAAACAGGTGGAGGATGAGGCCTGTGTCAGAGGCAGCCTCCACCATCCAACTGTTTGATATATTGCAGGAATGACTAGGGGACGGTAGTGATGTTACTGCTATCCTCCCACCGGCTGCCTTGCTAGATGCCATGGCCACTGTTCTGTAGGATGACCCTCCCAAAGATGCTGAAGGGACACGAGCTGGTGCAGGCAGCCGGCGCCGCAGTTGGACGCAGGACTCAACACAAGGGCCAGTCTGCTCATACCAGTGTGGATACTGCTGCAACTGTGGGTCCCTCTGCCTGTGGTACTGGTGTAGAGCACCGGTGGCAAACCTGAAGGGTCCTCCCTTGGCATTTGTTGTGCCTGATCTTTGCACCAGTGGGCCTGGTCTAACTCACTCTCTCTCACTGTCCCCTGTGCTCTTCTTTGTTGGTGGCTCAACTCATGTGGCCAAGGGATGAACAGACATACCTCAGCCTGCTCCAACATTCATTTACATTTTCATCTGGTACTTTCCATTTTGCTGCAATTCGTTTATTTTGCAGAAGCCTTTCTTTCATTCCATTGTCCACTGATGCAGAAATATATGCAATTTCATACATCTGTTGTAACACATAATAGAGGGATGCATTTCTCATCCACTGATAGATATTTACAAATCAGTTGCCTCCTTGTATGTTCCCCTTCAAAGCTGATGAATTTCCAGAGGAGTACCCCTCTTAGTCTTTTGCAGCAAAAGTAAAGAGCCTGGCAGCACCTTAAAGACAAAGTTAATGAAGTGGCTAATAGGTCATCAAAAAGCTATCTATTCTAACCATGTCTCTGAGAAGTAAATTCTACTGAATTCAACTTGGGTTACTCCCAGGTAAGTGGGACTAGGATTGAAGTCTCACTATCTGGATTTTATAGTGTGGTATGAACTTAACCCTGCCTCTTTTCCCTCATTCAGGCATCAAGGAAGGATAGGTTTGCACCCTGCTGGTATTTTGCTGTGTGTGTCCTGGACTGTAAGAATTCCTGCGGGCATATTAAACATTGTGCACTTATATAAGCCCTTTCTGTAGTGCATGATTTTATTCCATAAATGTGTATTTTCTTCAGAAAATGACCGTGTGTGTGCATCTTCTGAAACATAATGTTCAAGCTAATTTGTTTTCAATGTTTGTAGTAAACTCGATTTATGTCTGACTGCTTCAAATCCTCAGACTTTTAACTGAGGAGCACAAATAAAGTCAACAGATGACAATACAAACTACTGTACTTCTTTCCGTAACAAAGAACAAGAATAAATGATGCATTCCATTGGTTTTTAAAATCCACAGTGGGAAACAGCTAAAGGCTACAATCATAACCCCACTTACGTGGAAGTAAGTCAGTGAGACTTACTTCTGAGTAGACATGGTTAGGATTGCAGCCTTGGTGACTATAGGCTGTGTATGTACACAAAGTCAGCATGCAGTATTTCAGGAAAAAAAGAAAAGCTGCAAGACCCATGTCAGGGCAGTGACAATTGTACATCAATGAATATGTAAATAACGTAAATTGCTATGCAATTTACGTATCTATTATGTATAACATGTACATGATTTTTTTTTATAAAAAAAAACACAGTTGTAGAGAACTGAGATGAAAATCATTCTTAGCAAGAGACTGTTACATGATGGGAGTTGAACAGGTAGACAGAAGGAAATTTCCTCTGTCATTCCTAGTGTGGCTCCACCTTCCCATCACTTGCCAGCTCCTTGCTATGTCTATCTGTTATCATGGGGTGCTCGGTTTGGGGTGTTTTTGCTGCTGTGAAAGCTTTCCCTGCCTGTTTGGGCTGTGTACTCTTTTCCATCATGACAATAAATGGCCATTGCGCTCTCTGGTTCTGTGTCTTGGTGTGTATGTGTGTGTGAGAGAGAGGGGGTACAGAGATGGGGTGCAGAGACCCTAAGGGCCTGGGTGGTAATGAGGGTGCATGCTGATGATGAATACTGATTTATCAACACCTTCTAAGCCACCATCTCAAGACAATTTGGGTGGTGTGTGATATAGCCATGCATGCTGCAGCCAAATTTCCTATGGATACCATGGGTATGCCTACACTCTTTCTGCTGCAATTGCTTTCCTTTTCCCAACACACCAAACCCCTCATTGCCGAAGGAGGCAACAAACTCAGCACAAGTGGATTACCGGTGTATCTTCCCCCTGGAAGACTTCCTCATTTTGAATCGTTCTATATTAATTAATTAACAACATTGAATTTTGGCAAAAATATCATTTAGTTGTAAACAGCTAGGTTTCTTTCAGGGGTGGGGTGCTTGTAGAGGACAGAGGAACTAAACTATATGTTGCCAACGAAGCAAATGACCTGTGAACCAGGAGACCCCACCACCACCACTTCAACCCCTGGCAAAACTGATCCTGATCAGGCTCTCCCCAATTGTCAGGATTCTCAGATCATTATATATTAAGCACTTCAGTTTAAACATTCTGAACTGCTGTCGCTGTTGTCACCTTAAAGTACAAAGCTGATCCCAGCCACAACTTCTCAAAATGCACATCAGGACAAAACTAGAAACGGGCCTGGCTGTTCTCCCAAACCTCATTTTAAAGTTCTCTCTTTTAAAAGTGCAGTCAGCCCAACAAAAATACGCCATCATTCATATTGTTTTCTCCGTCATAGGCAGGAGATACTAGAAAGGGTTACAAGACCATTGTTAAGCTTGTAGTAAATTGTGTTTGCGGCACAGAGGGAATAGCTTGGCTCATATTCTCCGGTTGCAACTGTAGTGGAGAAGGAGGAGGCCAACAAAAATCGATAAGTTCAGTGTAAGCAAAGTCAGAACAACCTTTAAAATAATAAGACAAATCAATTTATTTCACAAATGTCTTCATTTCCAAATGCCATTGTTTTGGTGTTCTCCGCTGTCATTGCTCATGACATTTGAGAAAACTGGGCTCTTAATCATTTCGGTGCAGAGGGAGTTATCATGTAAACAGCCAGGCTCAAAGATTATGTGCTCACCCAAAGATATCCTGTAACAACCAAGTCCTGGGGGAGCAGGAGGGTGGAAAGGGACACGGTGGGGGCTGGGGAGAGAAACTGGGGTGGAAGGGAGTTTAAAAATATGGACAGAAGAAAAAGACCCTACTTTATGGCTATATACAATGAAAAGTAATTACAGAGAAAAATGAAAGCTGGGGCTTGCTGTTAGCGAAGGAGGAGGAGGAGGAGAAGGGAATTCTGATCTTTTTTTAAGCTCAGAGTCCATTTTGATATAATTGGTTCCAGAATTATTTATGACATTAATTGCTGCATTATCGACTACCTGTCAGCGGCTCTGGCAGTTAGTCCATCTTTCTTAGCGCAGAAAGCCAGCTCAGCCCAAACGAGACTGACAAGCTAATTATACCCATCTCCCCTTCAATGACAAATGCTGCTCATCGGAAGCCTTTTCTAGAAATAAGCTTTCATTCTTTCCCCCTTTTTCCCTGAGCCAGACACAGCCGATATCTCAAGGTACAGATCACAGCTAAAACTCCGCTCACCAGGGCTATTAGCTCTGAACATCTCACTTGAGCCAAAAAAACCCTAAGCATCTTATGTTATCAAACTGTATGTCATTCCCTGATACTAGTTTTCAGTGAATGTGCACTGGGCCATGCACGTCACTCAAAGCGGTGGCAGAAAGAGCAGACCTGACTGAATTAGCCGGCCCCATCTTTAGCAACACAGCCAGGATGCTGACAGCAATTCCAGGACTTGGCACCCAGGCTTTTGCATCTGATGCAGTTAAGCATCCAGAATCAATAGTGTTGTGGTTTTGTGTTGTGGCTCCTGCTGAGCAAATACATGGAGGTGGAGGCCTGGTGTGGGGGAAGGGGGCAACGCTGGGTAGATGCACGATGTCTAGATGGCATGAGACAGCTGGGATACCTGACAGGTGAAGTGCTGTATTAAAAGCTAGGCTTCTTGAAGCAGAATGCCCAGAAACAGCCCTACGGGTGTTGCCATTTTCAGTGGAATCCTAACATGTCTTCTGCCTGCCTGTAGTCCCTCAGCAGAGAGGCACCTCTTCAGTGACCCATCTGTCTATGTGGTTTGTCAGTCTTCCATCAGACCCTTGCAGTACACACACACACACAGAGACACACACACACACACACACACACACACACACACTGTACCCCCACATTCTCTTGCTCCTTGCCCAGTTCCCCAACTGTTCTCAGTAGGAGGACCCGTGATAGGTGAGCATCTACCCTCGTATATGCCCACGGGTTTTGATGTTCACCCTAACCCAGGGCTCAGCAACCTTTTTCAGCCGTGGGCTGGTCCACCGTCCCTCAGACCATGTGGTCGGCCGGACTATATTTTGGGGGGGGGGGAAGGGGGGAAATGAACAAATTCCTATGCCCCACAAATAACTCAGAGATGCATTTTAAATAAAAGCACGCATTCTACTCATGTAAAAAGACCAGGCAGGCCCCACAAATAACCAAGAGATGCATTTTGAATAAAAGGACACATTCTACTCATGTAAAAACACGCTGATTCCCAGACTGTCCGCGGACCGGACTGAGAAGGCGACTGGGCCGCATCCGGCCCATGTGCCTTAGGTTGCCTACCCCTGCCCTAACCCTATTCAGGAGCTTGCCAGAATGTATTTGCAGTAAAAATGGGGAGAAGGCAAGGGTGCACACACACAAAAACCACCCTCAATCTCCCAGGGTAAAAAAGGCCCCTTGTGCACCAGAAGCCGACTACACCAAGTACACATCTAGGGTTCCTCTTTGGCAGGAACATTATACATGTGACACTCCCAAACCCCAGTTGCCTTTCTGTCTTTGTAGCTGTTATTGTTTATCAAGCTTATTTTCTTATGAATCCAGGGTTTGTGAGATCAAAAGGAGAAAGAGTTGACCACCCTGGCCTCCACTCCACTGCTGAATTCACCCTGCCTGTCTGCTTAACTTCAGTTTATCTTGACACTTCTCTACTCGGCACTGAGGTGCTTCATCAGCTGGGTGCTTCATCTCCCTCTTGTAATCCAGGAATTGTTACCTCACTCATAACTGAAAGCGAATGGCTACATACTGTGATTGGTCACTACAAGATCCGTGAATGGCTGGAATCGTCCATGTGAATAAGAAAAGTAGCAGCCATTGGAGAAATTGTGGAAAAATGTGGTGCCAAACAGTGTGTGTGTGTGTGTGTGTGTGTGTGTGTGAGAGAGAGAGAGAGAGAGAGAGAGAGAGAGCGAGCGAGCCCAAAAGTATTTTCCAGGAAGGAGAGGAATCTATCTCCATCTGTTTATTTATTTTTTAGGTAGCTTCAATTTATGGTTTATGCATTTTAAGAATATTTTTGCATTTGTTATTTTCAATGACAAATGGATTTGGAACTGTGTTGAACAGGCCCCTCTCTCTTTGGTTAGTTGATAAGGTGCAAGAGGAGTAAACAGAATTGAAGCTTGGCACATTTTACACTTTTATCAACGTAAATGCTGGGGGGAGGGGAAACCTAGCACATAAATTGAGTCTGAAGCTTTTACAAATTGGCTATTTAAACCACTCCACACCTATAAATTGTACAGTGCTGGAGGCCATCTTTCTATGGCTATTGTTCTTCATGAAGCAAGACAACAAAACCTGGCAGGAGAGAACTAAACCCCCATTATATTGGAAAATGTATTAAACTGAATATTAAAATATTGCGAGGAGACAGAGGAGCAGGACCAAAAAGAAAACCCCACAGTAAAAACAGAGGAGACTGCAAGATACAAAGATGATTTTGATTTGCATACAAGCTAAACCCATGGATATGGTGCATTTTCAGAAACTCTTCAAAACAGGCAATAAAAACACACAGCATATCTATAGACCTATCATAGTCTATTAAAATCGGCCAAGTTAGGACAAACACTGAGGATCAGGAAAGAGGCATAAAGAGAAGTCAGGGCTTTGAACACATCTACAAAGCGAAGCTAGACATACAGTATTGCTTACCTGATCACGTAGGCCTTTAGACTGCCCCATTACTGGCTAAAAACCCCAAAGTTGATCAGTAAGAGATTGTACATAGACATGAGAGAGACTAAATGGGGAGCTGTTTAAAGCAGCTATTTTCATCCACTGCCTCTCAACCAATCAAGGATCAGGTGGGTGGAAGGCCTAAAATTAAGTGCTGCTGGGGAAACTCAAAACAGGCTGATTTGGGGCCTTGTGCAGCTGTGCAGATTCATGTGGCAAAAAGCAGCCCAAGGCGCCTTGGACGTCGAACAGCGGCAGCCTACATAAAACTACAAACTTTCCCCAAATTACTTTGCTGTTTTCTAACTTTGGTAGACAAATTATGTATACCTCAATATTTTATTGGTCTGAAGCCTCAGAGATTTGTTAAAATGAGTCTGTTCCATCATCCGATGTTGCAGTGCCCTGAGAATAATGCACATTTGGCTGTTAGTTACCGATACAGCCTGCGTATAATTTAGCATTTGTCTAACCTATTCAGAAGGAAAATATTGTTCTCATTAATTTACATTAGCAGCTGAAGAGAGTAGGGAAGGGGTTGGTATCCCTAGTGCTCTAGAATGTGTTGGAGAGAGGTTTGCAAGAGAGATTCCTGATTCTCTCGTAGTTAGCACAATGAGCCAAGCACATTAAAATTTGGTTAGACTTTACATGTGACCCCCATGGCCACCTTTAAACCAACTTCCCCCACAAAAAAGATACTTAGGCTAGAGTAAATAACAGATACCAAAATGTAGATCTTACTCACAGAGTTTCAGATGTTTCAGCAAACAAGTATCCATCTGTTGGCAAGTAAAATAAAGAAAGTGGTTCCAAACGGCTTGAAAAGAAAGAGCTTTGCTTCCTTACTAAAGAACCATGCAGACTAAAGAAGCGGGCCATAAAAATCTCCTTTTGGAGAGATTTCTCACTCACCTGCTTTTCCTCACAGGTGGGAGCCTTTAATTGGCTGCAGCTTCTTTGAGGATGCAGAGGGAAAGAGAGGGAGCAAAGGCTTCTGGGAAATTGCTAAATCCCACCCACAGTAACTTGAGGGAGGGGCTCAGATGAACGCTTTGATGCACGCAAGTGTGAGTCAGCAACTGTATACAGTGGTACCTCGGGTTACATACGCTTCAGGTTACAGACTCCGCTAACCCAGAAATAGTGCTTCAGGTTAAGAACTTTGCTTCAATGAGAACAGAAATCGTGCTCTTGCGGTGCAGCGGCAGCAGGAGGCCCCATTAGCTAAAGTGGTGCTTCAGGTTAAGAGCAGTTTCAGGTTAAGAACAGACCTCCAGAATGAATTAAGTACTTAACCCAAGGTACCACTGTATTTACCAGCAGGAATGTTCTTGGGAAAGCGATTTGCACGTCAGAGCTGAGTTAAAACTGCTCACGGTTGTTTGCAAACATTTATTGCCAGTGCCGAACAACCCATTGCAGTGATTTAGGCGCTCATTGAGAAAATGCTAAATTATTTCTGATGCCCTCATTCCCCCATAGTAACATCGCCATGAATCTGAATCTGATTGGCTAGGTCCTCTTTTTTTGTACAATAAGCTCCACAACCTATGTACATTTATCTTATGTGTATTCAACTTTATGTATGTGGCTTTTTAATAAAAAACTAATAAAAGGGCAGAAAGGGAACGGGGTTCTGGGAAAGATGACTCTGGCAACTGCACTCACCATTGAACCCAGTGTGTTTTGACTATACGTGATTTTAGCTTTAGGCACAATCCCTGGAACGTAAACGCCACGTAAACTGTGGGCTTATTGTATTCCATTCACTGGGTGATCCCTGATTGAGTGGGACCATCTATGACTCTCATCCAGGAAAGCAGCAGCAGCAGCCGCCAGGACAAAAATGACCCCGTACCCAAATATAATAATGGGTTGTATCCAATGTGAGTCACACTCAGAGTAAATGCTGCAATTCCCAGCACTTTTAAAAAAAACTATAGCTACCGAGTTTCTCCATAACAGTTAAAGTGGTATAAGAGTGTTTTAAATGTTTAGTGTGGATATGACCCAAGGGTCCATATTTAGTTTTTGCTCCTTTGATAGTCTTTGAAAGATATATGATGATATGGCAACAATATGCTGAATGTGATTAGGCAATTCTGAACACCCTAGTATTCCTGGAGAAAAAAAAGGAGGTAGTGATATGGATAGTATTGATACCAGTGCTCTTTTTCTAGAAAAAGAGGTGCCGGAACTCACCACAAACACCTCTCTTGTTCTCTTATACAGTGGTACCTCAGGTTAAGTGCTTAATTCGTTCTGGAGGTCCATACTTAACCTGAAACTGTTCTTAACCTGAAGAACCACTTTGGCTAATGGGGCCTCCCGCTGTCGCCGCGCCGCTGGAGCACAGTTTCTGTTCTCATCCTGAAGCAAAGTTCTTAACCCAAGGTAATATTTCTGGGTTAGTGGAGTCTGTAACCTGAAGCGTATGTAACCTGAGGTACCACTGTAATGGCAATGGCACCCACCTGAGAGGTGACGGAACTGAGTTCCGGCGAGTTCCAGCTGGGGAAAAAAGCCCTGATTTATCCTATTAGCGAAAGCTAAGCAAGAGAGATGCTGGCAAGAGGTTCAGTGTTTATCAGCAAGATGATTGTATCCTGGATTTAAGAACATAGGAAGATTGATCAGAACAAAAGGCCTTTATTGTCCAGAATCCTTTCCCACAATGGCCAACCAGATGTCTATGGGCTTCCCATAAGCAGTAGCTGAGCACAGCAGCTATATCTTCACTTGTGATTCCCAGAAACTGTTATTAAGAGGAGAGCTGCTCTTGTAATGGAGACAGGACATTTCTGCAGCAGGGTCTTTGCTCCTACATAGCAATTTCCCTACTTCTGCAGACATTTGGAGGGACAGTATTATGAAGGGATGAAGTTGAATAGGTACTGAACTCGTTTTGACATTTGAAATTGTTCATAAAAATATGTGAGTGGCTTCAGCTCAGCCCTGTCAAAAAATGTTGAACTACTTTAGAAATGTCTGCATGTACTTCACCTCCAAATTTGTCTCAAAATTCAGTTGTAATTCAGTTATCAGGCAGAGTCTGGTATTCTGAGGTGTGGTTTTTGTTCACAATCGTAAGAAAGAAACCCTACCTGGGGAAATAAGGTGAGGAAGGTGAACATTTACAGCAAGGCGAACATTATCATGGCACTTGGTTCATCTCCTTCTTGTCGAGAGTGATCCTTATTTGAAATATAATAAAGGATGAAATGGTTAAATACATCACTATTTTGCCAATAATAGGTGTTCGTATATAAGTCTAAATGGCAGTCAGGCTGCCCAGCCTATTGATTTTACTGTCTAATGGCTGAAAGAGATGTTATCTTGATTAATTAGAAGCCAAAAACAAATGCATCTTAGTTCTGTTAAATCTTCTCACATTTTCTCTCTCCCCCCTTTTTCTGTACTAGTGGTATTGTGTGGTAGACCTGCAGATGCCTAAACTGAAATAGGAAATTAACTTCAACACGGAAGGAGCTAGCTTGGTGACTTTATTTCAGCTGTCAGTAAAACTCACCCTGACAATATTATTTAACCCCATAATGCTATGGTCCTAGGGAGGATGTAAAATCTTTTCCGACACAATTAACATATAAGGCAGGGATGGCTAAATGTTGTTGGACTCCAATATGTTGTTGGACTCCAATTCCCATCAGCCCAAGCCAATGGTAAGGATGATGGAATCTGTAGTCCAACCATACCTGGAGGCCACAAGTTAACCACCCCTGATGTAAGGGAAATGTCAGGATGTGGACAGGCATGGAGTGCAGTTTTGTGGCCGACAGGTTGCCAAGGATCTCCAGCCACAGTGCTTTGGAGAAGGGATGTTGACTTATCACCTTATGCTTGTCTGCTCTGTATTTGTTCCCTGTCCTGCTAAGTGGTGCATGCTTGGGAATTGCTGGACATTCAAGTCCTGCTGCCTCTCTGCCACATGCCCACACTTCCATTCCTGTCAAATCAGCTTTGCACTTAGTTTCTTTGCCTTGGTGTCAATTCAGCAGAACACAAGCCTGAAGCTGTTCTTTTCATTTATCTTAACTCTCTATCCCCTGCACCTACCCTTCTGAAATTTTACAGCTTACTTTCCTAGGGGCATCTCTGCAATGTATGCCACATTCATATTAAAATCATTACGCACAAAAACTACAGGGAGGGAAGTCAATCGCTTTTAGTTCTCCCTCACAAAATCTATTTTAAAACTGCCTAGCAACAACAACATCAAAATCCACCCTACATCTATCCTTCTGAATTTTGGCAGGTTTCTTGCCAAAGGGCACCTCTATGATATGTACTATTTTCACACAAATTGCCCAGAAGAAAAAAATAGGGGAGATGAAGTAATCCTTCATTTAATCACTCACAAATTGCAAAGCCCTGCCCTTGCAGTACATCCACTGCAGCTGATCCTTCTGAAGGGAATACCATGCCTGCACATTTCTCAAGGTCTGCCAGAAAAATAAAGAAATAAAGAAACAAAAAGTTACATGGATACCCCCCGCTTTTTTGTCAAAATGTACACCAGCCAATACTGCAGCTGGCAAGGGATGGAGCTCTTCCAGTGGGATTAATCCACTGAGAGGGGGTGCAGAAAGGGGCCTTCTTATGGTGTCCATACTGTGAAACCTCCCCCCCCGCCCCAACTTGAGATGGTGTCAACCAAACTGAGCTTCCATCACTAAGTTAACATATATCCGGGGGGGGGGGGACGTTCAGAATTCTGTATTTTAGCGTGGAAATACACATAAAATGCATGCAAAATGTGTACAATTTAAGTGCAAAATTCTAATGTGCTTTAAACAATATAGTCCACAAAGCATGGGGCAGAATAGACCTATGATTGCACATATGGGAAACATACACAGAACAGAAATAGGCTAATTTCCCCGTTCCCAATTCAAACCAGATTGGTGAAAGGTGTCATAATACTGTCTCCTAATGAGTCGCTCCATTAAGGAAACAAATATCTACCATCTAGGAACGGAGGAAGAATTTGTTCCAGTCCAACGCTTCTGGACTTGCTTATGGGGATCAAATCACAACTTCTCTGAATTTTAGAATGTGACTTCGGTGAACGAAAAGTGCTTGCAAATTGTATATCTTATGGGAAAGGCATTGAAACACTTTGAAATACACATGCTTTCATGGAGAAAATGAGTATTTTGGCTAAAACTGTGTACAAAATGCATACCATTTCATTGTGGACTCTTTGGGCGTCGTTTCAAAAAGTCTACACAAAATGGGGCAGACCTGGGCTTGAGCACCAGTGGGACTGAAACTGGATCGAATAAAGCTGCTCTTTCCATCCCTACAACCGACCACTCTGGAATATTTACGAACAGTTTCCTTAACAAAGTACTGCTAATGCAACAGCCTTTAATACCAGCTTCACAGAAGCACTGTATTCAAAGGTAATATACTAATTGCGAGAGAGGGATGATGCTGTCCTACTTCGCTGCAGACTTCTTGGAAGTTCCTTGGTAGAACAGGATGCTTGACTTTACACACTTTGATCTGATCCAGCCAGGGTCTTCCTTTGTCCATTTGGGCTGGTGGGATGGATCAAAAGAAGTCTACAGTGATTTTGTGTAATAACATATCCAGCAATTGCTTCTCCTTGCCAAGTACTGAGACTTTCAATAGCAGCCATCCCTGAGAGCCCATTGCTGCGTATCTGCAGAGCTGCCTATTCTTTTACCCTTAAACGAAACATTTTGCTCAAAATGTTAATTCTGCCAAGTGTGGGGGACACTCCTACCATGTTGTGTGTGTTTTGTATACCAAATTGTTCCACGTTAGTGTATGGGCAGGAGGGAGGGTGTCCAGAAATGTTAAGGAATTCATGTGTAGCCGAGTTCTGCACATCAGTTTTGAATGCAGCACATAACAAAGGTCAGAGATAGCCTGGCGCTGTGTTTTGTGTGGTGCATCTGTTCTATGAGAAAATGTGCCCAAGTTTCTTTTTTAAAAAAAACAAACAAAACAAAAACATTGCTGTAAAAGCCTGGTTACTGCTGAATATATTTCTAAATGACAAGGTTTATTTGGCTGCCTTTTGATATGTTTAGGGGAAACTTGGGCTGACAGTTAGAGGAGGCAGGAAGAGGGGACCGCAGCAACTTCCACCCAAACAGAAAATGTCAGCTCTTCCCTCGCAAGGATGCAAAAGCATCCTGATGAAAAAAAGAGCAGACGTTTAAAAGTTTCTGACATGTGTCACGAACGCAGCCATTGAGCCAGTCCTGCTGATGTGGCTCAAGATGACAGCATCCGAGCCACTGAAGCTGGCTGCGGGACATTCAAAGTTTGGTGTGTGTCACATCGAATCCTTGTCATGTCACACTGGAAAGATAAGGGGGGGGGGAGAGAGAAGACAAATGGACGCAGGCAACAGCAATAGTTCAGAAACTTAAAACAACACGCTCCCCACTCGTCTAATTGATATTATGAAGCAGCCATAACATTGGACCAGCCACCCAACATCTGAGTTCATAGAAGGTCAGGGTGGATTTTTCTTTTCGGATTAATTCCTGCAAGACACAGACAGTAATTTGTCAAGTTCTTGACCCAAGCACATCTCCTCTGCATTCCAGAAAGGATATTTTCAAGCAAGAGATGGTCCTTGATGTTAGTCACTGAGCCATTGCCCCAGCTGCTCCCGAGGTGTCTCTAAGGAAACCACATGTGTTCACTCCAGATGGTCACCTGACCCCTAGTGACCTAGACTGGATGTCAGTCATACAAAGGATTTGGACTGTTTTGTTTGAGTATCTTCTCTTCCTCCACAGGAGTTGTGATCGGGATGCAGCCTTAATACTTGGGAACTTTTGTTGCAATAGATTGGGGGGACCTGTGCTTTCCCAGAGCTGACTTTGTGCCCAGATTTATAAACAGTAGCTGTGAGAGACCAGTGGAAGCCAACTCTTAGGTGCTGAGGTCCCTTCGCCCCCCCTAAAATATTTGAGGGGCTCAGGACCCCCACAAGGGTGCTGGGCGTTGCCATTTAAATGGGGTGTGTGTGTGTTATGCAGGGCAGGGCAGGGCTTACTCCCCCACAATATTTTATTAAAGTTGGCACCCCACTTAGGACCGAAGAGCAGGGTGTGATTTGCAAACAGCAACACACCAATTGGGGATCCCAGAAAAGCACAGATAGAAGTGAGAGTGCCTGTCAGAGACCCCAAAAGGCTGCCATTGCTGTGAAAATGGGGTGAAGAGTGAGGGTAATATAGATCTGCATCATACTCTAACAATCTGCAGAGCTAAAGGAAAGGGAAAGAGGGGAACATGGGACCAAAAGTATCACGGTCGCAGTTGGACGGGATCACAAGGGTCATCTAGTCCAACCCTCCCTCCCCCGCAATGCAGGAATCTTTTTGCCCAATGTGGGGCTCAAACCTTTGACCATGAGATTAAGAGTCTCATGCTTAACCAACTGAGCTATCCAGTTGCCCAGTTGCTTGAGGAGACTTGGAAGAAGCAGAGAGGTATCAATCTGAAATTAGGAATAGTGGTAAAATGCCTGATGCAGAATAGAAATGCATAGAAATGCAACAATCTACAAGTAATGCAAAGGTGTGCATGTACTGCAGCTTCTGGCTCTGATGAAACATTTCTAGTTTCCAACAGGTTAGGTAGGCCATGTGCTGAGAGAAATGTAGCTAGAGAAGGGGAGCCTGAAAGAAAAAAGTTTGGCAGGAGAAGGTTCATGTGAAGCAAACGTTCTGTGTTCTTTTTGCTGTGCCAACATCATGACAGTACTTTATAGAAAATAATTTTGTATGCCATAAACATATCTAAATAGCTCCCTCCCCAATAAATTGCTTTCATTGCACATATTACTGAAAAGCCCCAATTCAGAAGAGGTGATGGGGTATCCAAAGAATTATAGTTAATAGTTATTCACTTGTCATTGATTTCTGCAATCGAGGGTGTGCTCTCTGTCTACCTTCTAGTTTAATATGAGCAGCACATTTTTTTTTTAATCTAATGGCCTTGGAGGTGAAATTCTGTGGATTTAATTTTAGCATTTTCCAAATACAATCAGACTGTGATAATGTGACTCCTCTGGCAAGTGGCATTTTTACAAAAATCCCTCTTATTAAAAAGTCAGTAGCACCTACAGGCTATGAGGCTGGTTTCCACTTAAATCATTTGGCTACCTAGACAGAGTGATAAATCAAGCACAAGGCAGGGACTTACAGATTTGCCTTATATGTGCTAAACCAAGCTTTGAGAGAGGGGCACAGGGACATGACAGTGGGATGGTGTAAATGGGGAGAGAGAGTGTACAGAAAACAGAAATCTCCCCCTCAAACGCAGATAAATGTTTTAATTTGTTCCTTTTCTTTCCTTATTTGCTGTTGAACATTTTGACTAGCGCAGTTAAAGACACAGCCCCCCTCTCAGCCTTAAATGTGTTGCCATTTAGCAGAGGAGACCCTGAAGGAAAATTATTTTCAGATCCAAGAGAATAGGAATTGTTCATGATAAAAGCTTTGGGGATTATTATTTAAGCAAGGAACGCAAGTATTTCCCCCTTCCCAAACTAAGTGCAGGCTTTGTTTCATTTGCACCCGGTATCCTGTCCCTAATTCTGTGTTACAAGCAGACTTATTTTGGGATCTGACCCCAACCTAATGAAGTCAGCTTCCTGCAAGCCAAGCATCCAGATGCTCCTAAATAGTGGACTAGGAAACAGTGCTAAATTCCATCTCAAATAAAATGTAATCTGAAATGGATTCCTCAGATTTGTGGGATTGACTTCCATATCAAAGGCTGGATGAATCTACTGGTTGCTGGTGAGTTATGTGGCCTGCCTAGTAATAATAAGCAAGATGAGTCATGGAGCAGCTTAGCGATGTCTCCCTGTCATGCTAGGCCTCATCTGCCATGGACCTCAGCATTCATTGTGGTGCCAGATTAGCAATGTCATTACCAACCCAGTCCCTTTGAGTGGTATGCCTAGAGAGTCTCCTGTGGCCTAGGAGTATCCCTCAGCTGCTGCATGCACAGATGCCCCCAGTACTGATCACATCATTCTTCTCAGGCAGGGTTGCCATATGTCCAGGATTTCCCGGACATATCCTGAATACTGCAGCTGCAAGCAGTGTCCAGGCGGAAATTGGTGAAATCTCCAGGATAATCTGGACGTATGGCAGCCCATGTCGGCAGTGTCGTTTTTTGCTGATTTTCCTCAGAAATACTCAGAAATGTCCAGTGTCCCTGTGCTGTGCTAGGTAGGCTTCTTTGTGCCTGCCCAATGGCTTACAGAATCAATTCTGCTTTCAAGATCCAGTCCAATTTATTCTGGAGCAAAATAATCTGAAGTGAAACTGGGGAGGGGGGTCCTCTATCTCTTCTGTGAACTAGTGGAGGTTTGACTACTATCATGGCAGGTTGCTAC